TATTCAAAACTTAACATAATATGTATTAATTCAAAATATATAAAATGCTTATTTCTTCAAAAATAAATATAGTTTAAACATAACGTTGTGTGATTATCTTAATTGATAATAAAATTTGGGTACATTGAGATTCTTCTCACATATCACCGGTTCGAATTCTACAAAGTCACAATAAATTGAGGGTATGTAAGTTTATTTGTTGCATTTGTCGTATATAAATATTAAATATTTCAAAAATTTCTACCTATTCTTTAGATCCCTTGTGATTTGTCATATAAGTTGGTCCAAACTCTCATAATTAATTAAACAAAAGATCTTTGGCCTATCGGTATGTAAATCTTTAGCCTCCTATGAAGTCAAGTGTTCAAAACTCACCAAATATAAAAAGAGTGTGTGAGTTTATTTGTTCTATTTACTACATATAAATATTATATATACTTAAAAAAAACTCATAATTAAAAAAAAAAAAAAAAAACAACGATAAATGAATCGTTATCTATAAGAAAGACTCTTGAATTTAATTCCATATTTAATATCAATTAAAAATATTATATTAAATTTTATGTAAATAAAATAAAAAAAGGGGGCGTTCCGAGAATCGAACTCGGGACCTCTCGCACCCAAAGCGAGAATCATACCACTAGACCAAACGCCCATATTGATGTATTACTAATTAGGTTTATTATTATACGATATAAATAATTATGTTCTATGATTTTAAAGTAAATTGCATTTATTTTGAAGCAGTTTATCAAATACTTACCCGATCAATATAGTAAGGATTAAGGGGCCGTTTACCAAACGCTTAATCAAATAAGGGCTTATCAAGTCATGTTAACTTACCGAATGAGTGTGACAAATACCAAGAATCTTATCCGACAAGAGCAAAACAAAAACCGAGAGTCTTACCCGGTAAGTAAGGGCAATGACTTTTACCACGGTTAATACTTACCGGGTAAATTGTTGCGTAGGATTTTTATTAACTAAAATTTTACCTGATAAGTAAGTGATAGCGTTTAATATTACCGGTAAACGCTTACCTAAGTGTTATGTGGATGACCACTTAAGAGCATATTTAACATCTATGCTATAATTTTTCTAAAATAAAGTGTCAGAAGTTAAAATTTCTATCCAACTTTAACAACTACTTTATTTTAGCAATTTTATTCGTATATATTATTAAATCATTCAACACATTTAATAAAATATTATTTCTCTGTCAAACACTTGATTTCAATGTATTATATGAGTGAGAAAGAATTAAATATTATTTATCTCTCAAATATGAAGTTTTAGGTGATGTTTGTTTTTTAAGAGGTGTTGAAGTCTAATTTCACTTCTGATTCATAAAAAGTGGTGTTAAAGTCTGAAATTTGAATCAGTCAGACTGTTTGTATTTACTTATAAAGTCTGAAATCTGAATCAGTCAAGATTTCTCCCAACAGAGCTTTCTACCTTCTATTCTTTTTTGTATTTTAGCATACAAGATAATATAGTTGTTGGAGCAAAAAAGTTGCTAAATTCTTACTTTTCTTCATTTTAGTATAACCGTTTGAGATACTCTAAAAATCTTACATGGTAAAAGGGAAGACAAATATTGAGAGTCTTACCTTGGTAATTGAGAATACTGACTTTTACCTGGTAAGTGCTTACCGTCACCGAGTGATAGAAGTTTATCATAGATCCATTTTGATGGTGGGAAAGTTACATGAGAAGGTAAGTGAAAATAATGACTTTTACTGATATGTGTTTATCCAGTAAGCATTTGGTAAAGGCTTTTGATAATATATATGAATTATTTAAACTAATAATAATATTATTATTACTTTCAACGAATAAGTGATAACCTAATCACTTAAATCCTCTTAATCACTCCCTCCAGACTCGATCCTCGCTTCCAAATCCAGTCCTCCAAATCAATCTCCCAAGACGTTCGATCTCCAAATCGATCACGACCCAAATCGATCCACACACTCCTGATCTCCAAGGTATGTCATATACATCTGAATTGGACATAACTCTTTATTAAATATATATATGGATGAGAACACACTCGATAACAAACCATTTGGGTCGTGGTGTTTTGGTAAGGCTTAGAGGAATGCAGTGGAAATCTCATCTTCCTTGGGTTTAAGTTCAGGTGCTGCCAAAGCCCTTGTGACTGCGAAGATTTATCTGCGATGATTTCAGGTCAATCGTTGTCGTCGAATGATTAGTCGATACGTTTTAGCTGGTTCAAAAACCCACGACTACTATAAAACATAGTCGATCCAAAAACAATTACTTGTAGGTGATTTATATTTGAAAAAAATACATAAAACTCACCTTCAAATACTAACAATGCCATTCTCGATATTGCGTTTGTGTAAAAAGTGTAACTCAAAATATAGAAACTATGGTGAGTCGGGCATTTGACGTATTGAGTAGGGGGGTCAACGGGTGCATCAATCTGGCCTCAGGTGTTGTGAAAAAACGATGGATCGCAAATAGTGGTCAAACAAACCAAACCAAATCGTTTTTAGCGGTTCCATTTGGAAAATAGCCACGGTTTGATTTGGTTTACAGTTTAGACTTTTTCATTTAGGAGTTTAATCGACCAAACCGTCTATCTGCAAGGGCCAAATTCTTTTTCCAAGTGGTAACACAAATTGACTATAAAAAATATCTAATCTTTTCTCCACAATATTAATATAGATCTGTTAGTTGGTTCCTTGTCCTCACATAAAAAAGACCCATGTCCGAATCCAATCTACATATAATTTTAAAAACACAAGAGATATATAAAAAACATCACATTTTAAGCTAAAAACAACAAATTTAACAGCTGTGGGACTCGGACTTGGGCCTTTGTATACAAAGGCATAAGCATTTACCATCTTAATCATTAAAGTCTTGTATTAACATTTCAATTTCAAAAACTATATCCCTTCAGAAACGTGGCCCGTGCCACTGTATCAATCCATGTGGGTTCGCCCCTGATTGCAAGAAACGTCCAGTTCCCTAAGGATCAGGACATCTTCCCATCTCTAAATTACCTACTTATCAATGTTGAAAGGGAATGGAACATGACTCGAAATAGAGAAACTATCGATTGCAACAATAACAACCAGTCGAGTTTGTTAGAATGTCATTTCTTTTCAAATATCGGCATCTCGACCTTAAATAATAGTGTTCAATATGGGAGGCAATAAGATATACAATAAAATCACCTTATTATATATATATATATATATATGGCACCTTTCGAGTAGAGAAAGTCGGAGTAAAAGAGGGCACTAGACTAGAGTGCTGCTATGCATTCGATTTCAATCCTAGCGTCAAGCGGTAATGCTGCAACTTGGTACGTTGAGCGTGCAGGAGCTGGTGCCGGGAAATCTGCAACACCATTTTTTAACAACTTTAAGTCTATAACCTTTAAAATAATAAGGGCTTTTGTTAACAGCTTAACGAGACTTGCAGCTTATTTGGTCACCTATACATGACTGTTTGGTAGTGGCTTAATGAGATAGAAAGTGGCTTATTCAGTAAGCTTTTAGGGGGAGCTTATGTAAAAAGCCAAGTTTTTTTTTTTCCAAACCAGTCCCTCCCAATTAAAAAACATGCTCATTCCCTCTATCAAAAAACCCTCCCAAATAAAAACCTTCTCAATCTATACAGATAGATTAATGCACACATACAACTTTATCCATTAATGACTTAATGAAAACCAACCGAACAGCCCCTTAACTGAATATGTGAGAGAAAAATCATATAAATAGTTAAATACCCATTTGGTGTATGGTGGGCTCACTACTTCCACGATGAGCAAGCAGCCCCACTCTAGGGACTCAACACGTGGCTCTCTTTTTTCAATAAGGGGCGGGATTGAAGTGTCGATTGGCGTGCTCATGGTGGGCTCACTACTTCCACGATGAGCGAGCAGATACAGCAGCAGCTCTTGACTGCCCGACCTACGGGCCTCTCGAGGTGTACTTGTTCGCTCATCGTGGAAGTAGTCGATAAAGGGCAAGGGCCTGCTCTCACTCAGTTCACCTCCCCTTTAGGTAAGACGGAAATTAATTGAATTAAATCCTCCACCTTACTTGGAGGATTAATTTCAATTAACTCCCGCACTACCCACAGGGGAGGTGAACCTATCTTATAAAGTTCCTGCTAGGCACAGGAACCCCGCTGATGAATAATCAATCCATTCAGCCGTCACCATCAGCCGAGAAGACAAAAATCCTCTTCATGAAAGCTTCAGCGTGGCTTGAATCAGTTGAAGGAGGTTTCTACAGGAAGAGTTGCGACTCCGCATGAGTCTATTTGTACTCGTCTAGACTCTAGACACTCGAGACAATCCGTGTCCATCTAGCCTATGTTGGAGGGAGCGTGTTTGAGTCCCAGAACAGCTAGACTTGGATCGTTTCTCCACTACATATGTCGGAACCTCCCTTTTCTCCTTAAGAACTCTTTTGGAGAGTAATAAGGGGTTCCATATATTCTCATATATACAAAGTCTTGTTTTGAATAGAATGGTAATTATGATAGCATATGATTCAATTTCCAATAATATAAAGTATCCATAACATGTGTACTTACATTTAGCATAGATCTCATTCACTTTCTTAAAGTCTTTCAGATCAGCCAACCTGAAACCATAGAAACATAGCATAAAATTTAATGTCCTCGTAACATAAATGATACAAAGAGATAAAAGCTCGATTACATGATTGTGGTCTTAACCACGGAGGAATAGCTAACACCACTAGCTTTCAATATCTCCCCCATATTCTTCATAACCTGCCAAATATACACTACATTACAGTGAATACAATATAAATTCCACTTCTTTTAACTGCTTTAAGAATTAAAATTGTTTTATGAAAAAAAGAAAGAAATCCAAGACACCAATTGCAAATTTTTTACAAATGGATAAACTACCTGCTCTGTTTGTTCCTCTACGCCATCCGATACAAACTTCCCAGTCTGCACAAGCATCATAATAACTTATTAAGACATAAAGTTGCATACTTGCATTAGATAATTAAAGAACATTATAAGGTATATAAAATATGATTAAAGGAAGGATCTGAAAATTGTAAAATATGATCGTCATGTAACCTCAGGAATGAGACCAAGAACACCAGACACAAACAGAGTATTATTGGCCTTAATGGCTTGGGAATAGGGACCCAGAGCTGCTGGAGCCTTGTCTGTTTGAATAGCTTCCTTAATACCTACATACGATGCAAACAACTTAATATTCATATCAACTATCAAGTCTTAACAAGCATACATGTTATAGCTTAAAGAAAATGAAGGTAAGTAGCCAAACAAACATGTTTCACTGCAATATTATGTGAACGTATAACTGCCATAGAATATTTATCATATAGACATATAGCAGAGTTTGTCCGTAAGATCCTTGAACAAAGATACAAGTTCGAAATTAAACAAAATAATTTATACATCTTTCCCCCAATATCCTCTAATTACTTTTATGTTCTGCTGGTAAAAAAGTAATAAGGAATTATCTCTTAGATATTTTCAAGGCCATGAAATTTGATAGGAGTACTTGGAGATGTAGGATTAAGGTAGCAAACCAGGTATGGGCACTAAATCCCTCCAACTCCCTCTCTTCCAGTTAAACTCTTTGCTACATCTATTTCTTATCTTCAACTCCCTCTCTCCCAATTCAAATCCTGATATCCATCCATCCTTTCCTCCATGGCACCTCCGTGATAGCCACCAAACCATCTTCCTCCTCTGCCTCTAACTACCACTCCAATCGCCACCCCTACAAGGCGATGTAATCTGCACCACGGAAGATAAGACCGTGGCAAGAAGCACAGCGGAGAACCAGATCTGCGACTAGAAGGATGATGCATTGGCAAAAAGCAACATTTGGGAGGGCAACGTGCGACGAGAAGGGTTTAGGAGCCAACGACAGCTAAAGAGAACGAATTTAGTGTTTTTCTTTTGCTTTATTTGCATTTTAATGTTATTTTTACCTCAGACCAGTCCAGTCTTCTATAAAAATAAGTCGGTTTACAACATGAATACCCGATTGGGTGATTGGGTGATTGGATTCATTCGAAACTTTATCAGACCCAGCTGAGTAGCTCAGCTGAAACAAACCTGTAATTCCATTGAAATTTGACACCAACGTTGTAACAATAAGGGGAGAAAGTGGTTTACGTGGAAGGTTAGAGGTTTGAGTCTATATGTTAAAATTCTAGCTAGTCGTTGTTAACTGAATTTGGGAGGGAAACTACTGGATTGCTATCAGTAACCGTCAGTCCATAGACTTTGGAGGTAAGGAGATGTAAGAACTCATTGTGAAATATATCAATTACAGATTTTTCCTTCAAATTAATTATCCCTAGCACCTGCAATGTCTAATGTTCTTAACAAATTTTCCTTCAAATTTTTATATCCGATCAATGTAACCTGTCTGATATCAAATTTCAAACTTCATCTCAATCTATTAAAAAACAGGAGAAACAATCAATTCCAACATTCGATCATCAACAAAAACCTCACAAAATTCGATATCAAAACAACGAAAACATAAACAATCAACAAATCACATGAGTAATTGAACCTTCAAACTGTTACAAGAATAGATTGCTCACTAGCGTCACTAGACATGGCCAAGCAAGCGAAGGGATTTGACCGGTTGGAGAAAGATGGTAGAGAAGAACGCCAGAAGCTAGATGCGGCTGCGGAGGCGCAACCTATACCGGCGACGATCAGAGCACGGTTGCGGAGTAGACGAACGTCAATCGCCGGCACATTAAGCGACCTCGCTAAAGAAGAAGCCGTCCAAGCCATTTCTGTTTCTTTCTGAAATATTCTGTCGTCGATGGCGTTTTAACTGAAGTCAGAATCTGGATGGAAATTGGAAGTCTATTTAAAGGAACAGGAAAAAAGTTATTGGGCCCATTTCAACGATAGTTTGTTACCGAACAAATAAATTTCTTTATTCGACAAATTGTATCAAAAAGTAACGTATTTTAACTTAATTTCTATTTTACGTAATGTATTTTTAAAACTTTTATTTTGATGTTTAAGAAGTAAACTTTAAACATTTAACTACCCAAGTAATTGGTTGAAGACTAATATTAAATAAAAAAAGACCAATTTTAGATTAAAAAAATCATGTCACTAATCACGTCAGCAAATAATATGTCATATCAACATGATAATCAGTTAATGCTTCAACCGATTTTTACTGATACTTAAATGTGTTTTTTTATCATATAATATTTTGGTAATTTTTAGAGTACAGTTTAATTCTGGTCCCTAAAGATTTGTAATTTTTAACGTATATTATTTAAAAACTCATATTTAGTCTTTTGTGTTTGTTCTGTTAAGTTTTAAGTCGAATAAAATAATGGGTATTTTAATCATTTTCACTAATTTCATTATATTAAATCATAAAAAATATATTATATTTTTAATTTTAATTGTTATTATCCTTTCTTTCTTGTTTTGCAATTTAAAATTAAAAATACATTATGTTTTTTTATTTTAATATAAAATTAATAAAATAGTGAAAATGATTAAAATACCCTTCACTTAATTAAACTTAACGGAAAATATTAAAATCGTTGGGAATTGACAAACGTGAAGGATCAAATCCGAGTTTTTTATACAACGGATGCTTATCACTGTTATTACGTGTATGGTGTGAGATTGGTACCTCGACACATCTTATTAAGGGAAGCATTAGATTCAGGTCGAGCTGAACCAACTTCTTTCGTTACTCGAGTTGAGTTTGATTTCGAAATGATCAAAGACATATTGTCAAGTCCATGCAATTTAAATTAGAATAGAATAACGCACCGAACTTGACTATTGTATTTACATATTTTAAGTTTACCATGTTTCAACGAATATTTCGTCTTGATTTAATAAGAAAATAGTTTACTAAGTCTTTTATTTGAAATATACGAGTCTTTTTTATAAAGCATAATTATCCAATATTGACCAAGTTTATATGAACTTAATCTTAGATAAGCCAAAGACACAAACTCAACCTTTACTGAGTTGAGGTTCAGCCAGAACCTGATATTAAAGCTTGATGAAGGGTTATTTGTTTACCTCTTAATATTTTCATTAAGAGGCAACCACTGAATCGTTAAGAGTTGAATATTGTTTGATAAAAAAATCTACCTCTTAATGGTTGCAAAATTATTTGATTGATTTTGCATCTTGTGCCTCCCTTAAGCATTCAGCTTCTTAATTTCATTGTAAATAATTACCAAACAATTATATTTCATTTTGTACTATATACGATAGTCTCTTCATCATTATGACCACTTAATCATTCTGTACCAAACCATTGAAGAACTACCAAACACAACCTTAGCCTAGTTATTGTGGTTTTAAGAAACGTAATAACTTGATCGATATGATAATGTTATTATATTTAATTTCAACGATTATCAGTATTATACATACATCAAAACCACTGTTTATAACATAAAATAACAGTTTTTTAAATACACCAGTGTTAAAAGCATCTTAAATTACATGAGGCTTGAGATTCAACATGGATACAAGACTTATCTAACATATATAAACAAAGTTTTTGTGAATCAATGAATTCAAAGACTTATCTATAACAAGACATCTACACGATAGACTGAAATCAAACCAACTCAGTATATTCTACTATAAAGTACGATATGAAAGGGATTAAAATGTATACAGAACTGTCATATAACTTTCAGTGTAAATTAACTGTTTATGTGAAAAATCTCTTACTTGAGAAAAAAATTGTGAGAACACAGATGATATATTCAAGACTTGCACATCTTGTTATGGATAAGTCTTGTAAATGATAAATTCAGTACATAAAGCTTATCCATAACAAAATTGAAGACCTTCTTTTTCCGTTTTTAAAGAAAACGTATTTCATTTACACTTTCAAAAACACGACAAACCAACCCCTTTGGGTTTTAAATTTGACCAATTGATCCAGGGGCGGATGGCCATAGGGGCCATGGCCCTTTTTTTTTTCCTTTCGATAGAGGGAAGCATTTCCATTCCATTAAGGTTTTAAGTATAAATTTTTTTGGACCCTTTTACTATTACCGATCCAGTCCCTTTGTGTTCCGCATCTGAATGGATCCATAAAACAACTTTGTGGGTATGTTTTTGGTTTCTAAAGAAAACATATTTCATTTACACTTCCAAAACATGACAAACCAACCCCTTTAGGTTTTAAATTTGACACAATTGATCCCTAAACATTCCTTCTGCAAATCGGACATGAACCACTCCTAATTAGCCACTCGTCAATGCATTTTAAATGAAATGTATGTCTACAACCTGGCAACTCTCTTCCCTCTTCTCTGTTCTTGAAGCTCTGTAAACAAATTACACAACTGCTTTCATGGCTTCCGTTTCTTCTAATCTTCTTGCAAGAAATCTTGAACATGCATCTGGGTAATTTCTCTATCGAATCTTCAGATAACCCTTTTGACCCATTGCTCTCAAACCCATCAAAAATCTCCACAAAACTCGTTTCAACTCCACTAATCTGTGTAATCACAAAGTAAAATCCTTTAGGAATTGAGAGACGGACCTCAGTTGTTGTTGGTTTCGAGATAGTTTTCGACTTAGGGCTTGCTTGTTAGAAGTTTAACGAGACTTGCATCTTATTTGGTGTCATATACGTGACTGTTTGGTAGTGTATTAGTGATATAGAAAATGACTACTTACTTGCCACTGGTAAGCTTTGAGCACAGCAGGTGTGACCCATTCAGTAAATACTTGTCCATTTACAAGACTACATAACAGTGATACCTGCAAATGACATCCATGAAGATGGAGGGACTCAGTAGATTCGATTTTGAAGGAGGATAGGTGGGTACAGAAAAGGAATCTGAACAAACCTTTGAGAATGGTTCGCCATTAGCCATCATATCCATGAGCTGCAAGGCTGTAATGGCACCGGTGATTGCACCCACGGTGGCTCCACGGACCAGACCCGTTTCTGTGGTCGGACCTTTGATTGCTCCGGTTATGATTCCCACTGTTGCTCCTCCTGAAATACATGAATTCAACATCAAATCATAGAATTACAATTCAATTACACTCATATCATAACACCCGACAAGTGTTCGACGAAATGTCGGGTACAATTTCGAGTTCCTTCTAGAACCCATCTCTGTAATCTCTTACCCTCTCATGAAAATCGAATTGCGAGAGTGAAAACTGAAAACAGAATCATACCAAGAGAGACGATGCAAGCGAGAACAGCCATGGATACTCTGTTGAAAACATTGAAGAAAACTCCGAATTTAGAATCCGCCATTGATGTAGAGATTGGTTTGTGTGTACCCAAATGGATTGGTCGATCGATGGAAACACGCAAGAGAGAGTGAAAGTGATTGAATTAGGGTCATGAGCTCAGTGGAATGCATTTATAGAAGAGCAAACAGAGAAGAAGAGTGCATTTAAGGATGGATTCAGAGGAGCTACGTAGCTCTCCACTTGCCCTACATGCACAATGCATCCACGGTTTGATTTCATTAAAGAAAGTTGCAAGAGGAGTAAAAATGATTTATTTTACGTTTTATTTATTGACTAGAAGGGTTCTCGTACAATACAGTGAAATATATCTTTATTTTAATATTTCGTTTTATTTTTTTGTCTCTGTTGATATAATATGATTTATATGGTTTTGAGAAAGATAATGTTTTTACGATTTAGTGAATTAATTTATTTTCGTCTTAACAATAAAATTTTATAAATATAATGATTTTGTTAGAACTCAATTATTATCTTAATTATATTTTAAATTTTTTATATTTAAAATGATATATTTATCCTATATTTGATTATGGGGCTGTTTACCAAATTTTCTATTAAGTCCTGTATGGATAAATTTGTCTGTCTAGATAAATTTGTCTGTCTGGATAAATTTATGTTGTTGTTTACTTTTCTATCTGAAACAACAGTCTGAATAACAGAAATGACTAATTTACCCCTATCTGCCTTATTTCCAATTTCATTCCTTTTTGATCCTTATGTATAATATCTAAAACAATCAGACCAAAAATTTACGAATTTTGGATGGGCTATTTATCTTGTAAAGCTGAATCCACTATTGCTGTTCATAATCCATCCAAGAAATCTGATAAAATCCATGGAAATGAAGATTTGATCCACAAGAAAATTCAACACTTTGACTACAGCGATTTGGAAGCAGCCACCAATAATTTCTCCGACCAGAAACTCCTCGGTCGTGGTCGTCTCGTCGCCGTCAAAAAACCCTCACACCAAAACAACCACCATTCCGCCCTATCCGCCGTGCCGGAGAATGAAGTTGAAAACGAAATCGACATCCTTTCCAAACTCCATAGCCCTCGTCTCGTTAACTTTTCACAAACACCCCACATCAGAATCTGGCCGGAGAATGAAGTTGAAAACGAAATAGACATCCTTTCCAGTTAAATCCTCTCTTTGGATCGATGGAGAAGAGAGAGGTGCTGTTGGTGGATAAKGGTAGGGCAAGTCTTTTGGCCGGCTTAATCTGGACAAGGAAGGATTTTCATCTGGGCGAATAAGCCCATTTCTGAGCGAATAAGCCCGAGGTAAACAGCCTATTTTGTCTGTGCGAATAAGCCATTTTATCCACTAAGCTCATTAAGCCTCAAGTAAACAGGCCCTATGTTTATCTGCAGTAAGTTATACGAATTAAAAAATAAAGCTTTAATAAGTAATACTTACGCACAATTCGTTTGTAACCTTGAATTTTAAGTAATATGCATTAATAAATAATACTTCAAACATAAAAAATGGTTTTTAAGAGTTTTTATCAAATGCTTTATAATATAGTATAGATATAGATAAGCTAGAAGGGTACTCGTACAACACTATAATGCATCGAGATATATCTCGATTTTAGTGTTTCATTTTTCATGTCTTAGTCGATGCTATAATACGGTTTTATGTGGTTTTGAGAAAACGATAATGTTTTTATTTTTGAATAAAATATAAATATGAAGATATCAACAAAAATATTAATATTAGTACCAGACTAATTATTTAAAATTTCTCCTTTTTGTGTATTTCATTAATTCATTTTTTTATTTTTGTTTTAATAATACAATTTTCTATAATGTATGATAACAATTAATTATTTTGTTAGAACTCAATGATTATCTTAATTATATTTTAGGTTTTTTATATATAAAATGAAATGTTTATCCTCTATTTGATTATGTTTACCTGAATTTAGTTACACAAATTCAAATGAAATGTTTATCCTCTAGTTAGTGTGGTATTAATATCAATTTTTTTTTCCAATTTTTTATAATATCTTCATATTTATATTTTATTAAAAAATAAAAACATTTTCGTTTTCTCAAAATCACATAAAACCGTATTATAACATTGATTGAGACAAAAATAAAGAAAACGAAACATTAAAATCAAGATATATATCGCTGCATTATGCAAATACACTTTTAATACCGTATAAAATATGTAATTTTCACAAGATATTTCAAAGTTTCTAACTGAACCTAAACTGTATATCAGTACTTGTTAGGACTATACACCTGCTATGATATGGTACTAGTCAAATATTATTTAATTCAAAATTTCATAAACACTAAGGTGCCGTTTACCAAACAGGTAAACATTAACCTGATAAGTGCTTACTGGTAAAATTCAATATTATCACTTTCTTATCCGGTAAGATTTTAGTCCACCAAAATGACATTGGATGCAACAATTTACCTGATAAATGCTAATTATGGTAAGAGTCATCGTTCTCACTTACCGGATAAGACTCTCGGTTCTTGCCATGCTTTTACCAAGTAAGATTTTTGGTTCTTGTCATATTCATTCAGTAAGGTAATGTGACTTGGTAAACACTTATCTGAGTAAACGTTTGATAAACGACTTCTAACATTGTGTCTTGAAATCTTTTTTACGAAAGGAAATGGAGGAAAACAAGAAGAAAGTAAAAGAAATCGTGATCTCAAAACTTTTTTTAATGTACTCTTTTATTATATTTCAACTGTTTCAAAATAAATGTTCACAATGAAAATGTCACACAGTTTTAAAAGTATGTAATTATTACATTTTTTTAATTAATTAAAAGACACTTTTACCCTTAATAATAAAATAGATAAATCTTCTCAATCTCATAATTAAAAATAAAATGAAAAAACAAACACTTACTTTTGAAAGTGGACATTTATTTTAAAACAAAATAAAATAGAAATGTAAACATTTATTTTAAAACAGATAGAGTAATTATTGTAAGTTTAAAAATCAACATAAACGTGTAATTTTATATTTACTAGAAGAGTACTCGGGCAATACAGTGAGACACATCTCGATTTTAATGTTCTATTTTATTATTTGTCACTGTTGATGTAATAATAAGATTTTATGTGTCTTTAAGAAAGCAATAATGATTTTAAAAAATATATCAATGTTAATATCAAATCAACTATTTAAAAGTTTTCATTTTTTATGTAATTTCTTTAATTTAATTTAATTTAATTTTAATAATGAAATAATTTATTTTTGGTTTAGTAATATAACATTTTATATGTATAATAATTAAGTATTCTGTTAGAACTCAATGCTTATCTTATTTGTATTTTAAATTTTTTATATTTAAAATGATATGTTTATTCTGTATTTGATTATGTTTATCTGCAGTTAATTACACGAATTCAGATATTGAGCTTTAATAAGTTGTACTTACGCACAATCTACTTGTAATCTTGAGTTTTAAGTACTATGCATTAATAAACAGTACTTTACACATAAAAAGTGGTTTTTTAAGAGTTTTTGTCAAATGTTTTATAATATATATAGTATAACTTTTCAATAATTAGCCTTTTAATTTTCAATATTTGCATATGATAGAAGTACTAAGGATTAGGTTCACGTTAGACAATGTTTTTTTCGTGAGATACGATTTTTACACTTGAAACCTCACAACAAAATGTTGTAAAGGTAAAAACAAACCGAATCTTCACAATAAAAACACTGTGAACGTTACCTTTATAATGTTTTGCTATGAAGTTTTAAATGTAAAAATCATATCGCACATGTTTCACGAAAACAACGTTGTCTTAAATAATAAATGTGGTTGATGCTTTCAATTGATTTAGCCAACCCTACCATGGGAGGGGTTAGTCCATTATTTAAATTAATAATAAATTTTAATATTTTATTAATTATTAAAATTATTTTTAAACCTTTAATTAGTAATTTTTAATCATGTATAATTGTTTAAAAATTGTCTTTAATTTATTTATTTTATTCAATTTTCTTAAAACAGACATAACAACCAATCATTAATTGTATATCAACCAGTTTTATGACTTAACACGATTAAACCTATTGCATTAAAGTCGAATCAGATCGATCACTTATTTCTGTACTGATATTTGATGGCAAGTCGTAATCTGAATCCTAATGTTGGGATCAAGCAACTTTCACATATCGTTACATTCAACCGTTATGTATCATAAAAACATACGTAAACTGTTCGCAAAGCTACAAAAAGTTTCTTCAACAATACTTAAATTATCATTGACGTAATTATTATGTATTAATAACATTTACTTTATAAAACGACTGTTTATAGATTTTCAAAAAGGAGTTGGCAGGTAGGGTCGTCTTTCCAGTCATTTTTGTAGTTAATAAAGATGTAATTTAATACTATAAGGGTGATGTTTGATTGGTTTGAACTCAGGCTCCAAAGGTCAAAAGTGTCTGGAGGTCTCATGTTCAAATCCAAGGAGGAATAAAAATCTCCTTGTGGTCACGGAGGTTCAAATGCGGTGACTCTGGGCTATCCGCAAAACAGGTAGTCGTCCTAGAATTAGTCGGCTCGTATTGGATATCCAGGTTAATATAAAAAATGTAATTTTTTAGTATAATATCATAAACTAAAGAATAAAAATATAATCAGTTTTTAGAATTCAGTTTTTGCTTAGGTCATCTCTAACCGGTCTTTATAATACTAAAACACTGGGATTTTTATATCACTGGCCGACAAACACTACAGCAAAATCTGTATCGGTCTTAATAGACTACTTTATAGGACTTAAGTTTATAGAACCAAACACTTATATGTCCTATCTACAAGTGTTGTAATAGGTTTATAGGACTTTTTATTTATACTTTTGAAACAAAGTGTTCTATTAACCATGTAATAAGACATTTTTAAGAAGCATCTTGTAAACACATATTTTTAGGATGTTTTAGACTTTAGAGCATCTCCGACAGATTTATCTGAAATTGAAAATCAAAAGTCAAAATCTCCAAATATATATATATATATATATATATATATATATATATATATTTTCATTTTCAACAAATTCTTTATTTTAGATATTACAATCTAAATTATATTATTAAAATATTATTTCTCTCTGGATTATATTATTAAAAATATTATTACAATTTGGGTCCGTCCCTGTTTTGGAGAATTTGTTGGAACAAAATCACTTAAATTTCTATTTTAAAATATCTGTTGGAAATACTCTTATAAAAAAAAACAACAAAACACGTTGTTTTAGAAGTGTCTTAAAAAGTTTTTTAAGACACCAAAAAACGTCCTATAAACTTTTAGATAAGATACAAAAGTGTTTGATCTTATAAACTTAAGTTCTTTTAAACAATCTGTTATAACCATAAGACATTTCTGATATTCTATAAACCCAATTTTGTTATAGTGAAAATAACTGATCGTGAACACGAACTCTTCATTTTCTTATATATGTTTAGAAAACAACGTGCAAAACAGGAGATGACGAAAATAGATAGGGTACGAAAGAGAAGAAAAATCTGTGGGCTTATTATGGGGCTTAATTTAATGCCTTCAATTCTACATTTATGATTTATGCTATGCCCACCTACGCTACCTTTACGTCCACGCGCTTTATGATTTTAACATCAAATTATATCATAAAATATTTGATAAATATTTTTAAAAACCATTTTTTATACATAAAGTATTATTTATTAATACATATTACTTAAAATTCGAGGTTACAAGTAAACTGTGCGTAAGTACAACTTATTAAAACTAGCGCGTAGCCGAGTTGGTAAAAGAACGGAACAACTTTAGTCAAATACAAAACATACTATAAGAAAATAAAATTTATAGGACATCTAAAATGTAGAAGCGTCTGAAAAAAAAAAAAACTTTATAGGACCTAAGTTTATAGGACCAAAAAACCAAAAAATATTCTATCTAAAAGTATTACAATAGATTTATAGGACGTTTTTAGGCGTTTTAACTAGTTTTTTAGAACGTTTTTAGAATAAAGTGTTCTATTAACTGTTTTATATGACACTATTTGAATAAATGTTCTACAAAGACAAGTGTTTTATGGAAAGGCGTGTTTATAGAATACTTCTCAAAAGTGTCTAATAAAATAGCTAATAGAACACTTTATTTTAAAAGCTATCATAAAAAATTCTTAAATGCTTTAACTTTAATTAAATAATTGCATTAAGATGTAATAAATTGCAATTGCATCATTGCCAAGGACAAATATTTAATATTTTGTTCAATTGCATTATGATTTAGTTTCATATGATACATATAAATTATATATTCACAAGTGAATACAAGATTGGGGTCACGACAAGGTTGGCTTTCAACTTCTTATCATCTTATTGAATTCTTTTTGGCTGATTTGCCCATCCTGCAAGTCATGATTCAAGAATTATCCATCTGATTGTTAGATTCATACATCAGCTAGATACAAATAATTATAATTATATATATATATATGTATATATATCTTTCTTTTTGTAAGAAGTAAGAGATCCCAAAAGGTTTTTTATATATTTTTGTATGGTATGAGAGTGGGGTCTACCATATTTTGGGTACTCAAATACACAATTTCGCCTCTGTTTTGGGAGGCACCCTCTAACCTATGTTTGAGGGAACATGTTGGAGTCTCATATCAGCTAGACACGGTCCATCACACCCACACACACCCACACACCAGTGGCGGATTCAGAAAATTAATAGGGTGGGGGCACGTTGGATAAGACTTGGAGGAGGGAAGCATGGTCATATAAGACCGGGGGGAAACCCCAGTCAAAAACCAAAAATCAAAAACCAAAAACCTTTATTGACTAGGTTAAATTTTCTATTTTTACCCACGTGTTACATGGTTTCCCCCAGTCTCATATGACCATATGCTTCCCTCCTCCAAGTCCCATCCAACATGCCCCCACCCCATTAATTTTCTGGATCCGCCACTGGAGTGTGTGTGTGGGTGAAAATAGAAAATTTAACCTAGTCAACAAAAGTTTTTGGATTTCAATCGATGAACAACCCTACATATCACATCTATGACTTGTATGGTATAAGATGAACGAACTTACCCCAGTTTCATTGACTTCTGCAAAGATATCTTCAATTGTCTGGGTTAACTCGTCACCCGTCATATGTTTTTCCAATGCCATTCTTACTTCCTCTTTTGTAATAAATCTATGATGATCAATTTCCATATTAGTACTATACAAAATGCTAATTAAACTTAATTAATGGGCCATTTATCAAACCCCTTAACGAGTAAGCACTTACTGGATCAATTACTTTATTGGTAAACATACCAAAGACCAATAATCTTACCCGATAAGAGGAAATATAAGGATTGAGAGTCTTACCCAACAAGGAAGGGTTGCGTCTCTTACCCAGTAAGCCTTTACTGGGTGATAGACGCTTATCAACAATCCATTTTAATGACCAAGAATATTATCTAGTGAGAGTTGTGACTTCAGCCAGTAAGCGTTTACCCAATACAGTAAGCGCTTACCCAATACAGTAAGCGCTTACCCAATACAATAAGCGCTTACCCAATACAGTAAGCGCTTACCCAATACAGATAATTTGTATAAAAAACTAGGTACAAGAAGCTTAATTACCCACTCTCATCCTTGTCAAAATGTTTGAAAGCTTTCAAAAGGTGTTCCTCTTTATGTAGTGTCTCATAGTTCATCATGACTGTTATGAACTCCTTGTAGTTGATATATCCATCTCCATTTACATCAGCCTGCAATAAGTGTGTAGAATATTACAACAGTTTTCCGAATACGCTACAATAAAATGAGTCTTTTACGATGTATATATCTGCTATTTGGTGACCTAATACAGTATTTAAGAGCATCTCCAACATATTCTCTAAAATGGAGAATCAAAAGTCAAAAATCTCCAACAGCTTCTTCATTTTGGAGATTACAATATGAATTATATTATTAAAATATTCAATATTATTCATAAAATATTATTTTTCTCTCGTACTGTTTACTTTCAAAGATTCTTATTGGTAGAAAAATATAAAAAAAAACGTTTTTTTTCCTAAGCAATCATTTTTGGAGGGGTCTGTGAATTTGAAGAATTTCATCATCTCTCTAACCTAATTTCTCCATTTTTGAGAAAGGTTTTGGAAAATCTGATGGAGCAAAGATTTATAAAATCTACAATTTGAAGAATCTGTTGGAGATGCTGTGAAGAACTTAGTGAAGTTTATAAGACCATAACTACGAGTCATATAAACCACATGGTTTGGTTTCGATGAGAAGGGAAGTTATGGTGAGAAACATAATAAGAAATCTTCACCCTTGGATCAATCATAATTGAATGTTAACACTAATGAGGTGCATCTAAACGCACCAGATCAATTCCATTCTAAAGTACAATTCAAAGGTGGACATGAAATTAAAAGTGATCAAGGGTTTAGATCTATTCTTAAGCTTCTCACCATAACTTCCTTTCTTACACCATCTTTCGCCATATAAACGACAAAGGTTGTGGCGTAGTGGTTGAGGTCTTGGGGAGGGTTCGATTCCAGGCTTACACAACAATTGTGTCCATCGAGTTTATTAGAGCTGATTTCTTACAGTCACAATTTATCGGGATTAGTCCAGGTATAGCCTGAGATACCCTTAAAAAAACAATGAGTCATATACAATGACGTTGAAATAAGTTGTTATAACAAAGTTAGGTTATATAACAAATTCTATCAACAAAGTGTTATAATATAAATACGACACAAGAAATAAATCATCTTTTAGCCTTTTTATATGACACTTTCGAAACGTGTCATATTAGCCTTTTTATATGATACATTTGAAGTATTATATAAAATAGTAATAAGACGATCTATTTCTTGTGTCTTATTAGATTGTCCAACTTTATTGATAGAATTAGGTTCACTAACTTTCGCTCTAAAAACTCATTGTAATGCTACTATTGTGCACTTTTTCCAATAAACGTTGGCTACATTTCTTTATGTTATTAGTTACGTTTATGGATCAACCTCATGAAACCTTATATTCCCCGAGGAGATTAATTGTTGGTTCTAAAACTTAAAAGTATCGTCAAGTACTTTATTAGGTCGCCCGTTAATGATAAATAACAGTTAAGACATTCTAAAAGACCCGTTTTATTGTACTGATTCATAAAGATTTCCCACTTTGGGTTTGGAAGAATTCTTACGGCTTCAACGATCCCCTTAACTTCATCTGGCCGAAGATCTGATCCGTGCTTACCCAACCATGCCGCGAGTTCTTCATGTGAGATGGTTCCGCTTTCATCCGTGCCATCTTTTGTAAACATTGCTCTCAGTTCTTCGAGTTCCTCTGGCGGGACAATATCGGCAATTACCTATTAGCAGCAAGCGAGATCGAACGATTAATGCGCGTAATTAATTAATATAATACGGGTATAATTATTAGCATTAATTATTGGAAGAAATAGATATACCTCAAGGGCAAGTCTCTTGAATTTGTTCATACCTCTGAAACACCTCATCTGATAAAGCAATACACTTTCTCTTGGGTTTTCTACTGCTACTCCATTCCCCTTCAACCATTCATGTTCTAAATCATCATAGATATGTTTATCAAACTCAATATATATATATATATATATATATACACACACACACACATATATACAGTATATGCATGATTAAGGGGTCGTTTATCCACACAATTGGATAAGTGCTAACTGAGTAAGAGTGTGGCATAGGTAACCACCACCACAACAAAATCGGGTTTAAGGGATGCCATCAATTTTTAAACGTCTTAATAGAAGTCTTAGACAAAAAAGAAAGCGTTTATCTTAACACGTTTGTAATAAGTTTATAAAACGCTTTTGGACGTCTTAAACAGGTCTTTTGAGAACACTTTAGCAGAAAATGGATACTTAATTTTAAGGACACTTGTTTTTTATAAGACATTTTTTCATATAGTATCCTATAAAATAGTTAATACAACATTTTTTTTCAAATAGTAAACAATCTCTAATTAAAACAGGAGGAGCTGCGTTATTGAATGTGATGATGAGAAACATACTAAGAACAGCAGCAGCAGATGGGCGGTTCGTTGGATCGACGGAGAGCATCTTCTTCACGAGTTCCTTGGCGTTATTTGATATCGATGGCCATGGATGGTTCTTCATATCAAGAACGCTATCTGCACTCAGTATGGCATAGAATATATCTCTCTCTTTCTCTACATTTTTGTTTTGTTGGATTAAGTTAGATTTTTCACATCTGCTCCGGATAAATACATATAGGGTATATTTCTTTTACAACCTTTGTATTTGTACAACCCTTACAACCCAATTAATTGAGATATTTATAGAAATGATGGGAGTTCATTTATTATGATTTAAATATTTATGGAATATGAATAGAGTTCATTAATTATGATTAATACTTTATATTATAAAACAATCAAAACTTCTATGAAATCACATATTCATCAAATGAAATGGACGGTTAAGATTGGGTTGTATTGGTTGCACAAATGTCAAGGATTGTATAATAACCAACCCCTCTCTCTCTCTATATGTATATGTATGTATGTATGTATGTATAACATGTTATGTATGGAATGTTGATATATACATACCACCATAAAAGGGAGGCACCCCAGTGAGTAACATATACAGAATCACCCCTGCACTCCATATATCAACTTCTTTTCCATATCCTTGACGTCGCAAAACCTCAGGAGCCACATAGAAAGCAGTTCCAACTTTCTCCTGGTTTGGCTTTCCTGCAAAATTTTGCATTTCATCTCTCTAATATTATGTTATCTATATCACTATATGTGTTCGTGTATATATATATATATATATGATCAGGTATAAGGGAAAATCGTAAAAAGATGAAAAACCGAGGAAAGCAATTTGTCTGATATGTGCATATCATGCACACATGCAAAAAACCAAGAAACAACTTCAATACCAATATCCACATGTACATATGGTCCACATGAACGGTAATCAAAATACTATCAGTTTTTTGCATTTTTTGAGGTTTTCCCTAAACCTCGCTATATATATATATTTGCATTTGTATCTTATAAAACATATTTTGTTGTAATGTATATTGATAATTATAAATTGTTAATTACCATAAAATATATATATAATCAAACAATTGTACTGTCATATATAAATGTGTTCACTATAAAAAAAACTGGGTTTATAGAATGCTAAAATGTCTAAGCATCATAGTTGAATACTTTATAGGACTTTAAGTTTATAGAACGCTATAAAACGTCACATCTAAAAGTGTCAAAATGTTTATAGAATATTTTTGGACCTTTTTTAAAGTTTTTTAGAACGCTTTTAAATTAAAGTATCGTTTAGCTTATTTTATAGGACAATTTTGTGAAATTTCCTATAAACCCATCTTTTTATAATTTTTTTTTTCCAAATAGTATTATATAAAATAACTAATACAACATTTTATTTTTAATTGCGTCCTAAACAACTTGGTAAAATGTTCAAAATGATTCTGTAAACCTATTATAACACTTTTATATATATATATATGACACATTTTTGTTTAGTCCTATAAACTCAAGTCCTACAGAGCATTTTATTACGACACTTTGAATGTCATCAACGTTTTTGGAGCATTTGAACAAGTTTTTTAGGACATTTAATTAAAATAAATTTCTTATTAGATTTTTTTGGGACAGTTCTAAAACTGTCGTATAAACATATATTTTTATAGGACATTTCTTATATAACACTTTTTCAAATTAATAATTTCATATAAAAACACAAATAGTTAGTTTTGCTGTGAAGTTTCAAGTGTAAAAAAAGTGGTCTCACACGAAAACAGGTTGAACGCAACCCTATATATACACGGTACACAATTGTAATCATATAAACTTAAGTCTTATAAAACGTTCTATTAAGATATTTAGACATATGTGGCTAACTTTAAAGCTGATTTTATTATAGCAGATGAAGGTCGAGCAAACTTACCTTCATCGATGAACGTAGATAACCCGAAATCGATTGCCTTCAAGAGGGTATAATCAGCAAAACATGGAAGAAACCCTAATATCTTTCTCCTTGCCAACAAGAAATTCTCAGGCTTCAAATCTCTATGCATAACACCCATATAATGCAGACAGTAAACCACTTTCATTATAGAACTTATAATCTGTGCTGCAATTCTTTCACTGTATCTACCCTTTGATTTCATCTTCTCAAAAAGCTCACCACCTTCACAGTACTCCATAACCAGATGCACACATTGCTTGTCTTCAAATGTATCTCTCAATTCCACCACATTTCTTTGACCAGTTAACAGCTTCATTATCTTAACCTCTCTCATCACATCCTGCTTCTCTCCTTCTGTAACAAGCCTCACTTTCTTTATCGATTTGCACGCGTATTTCTTCCCCGTTGATTTCTCGACACAAAGATAGGTGACTGCAAACTTCCCGCGGCCTAATTCTCTGCCCATTTTGTAGGTTTCATTGATATCTTTTCGTGGTATGCCGAGGATGGAGTCTACTCTTGTCAGTGCTGCGGGGTTCTTTTGCCGGAGCTCCTCCAGTGGCGGTGGTGGTGTGGTGGAGGAGGTGGTGGTTGTGGAGATATCCATTTTTTGGGAGAATTATGGTAAAGGGTGTTGATCTTTTTTGAGGGTTTATGTGACGAATGTAAAGGAAATATGATATGGGAAAGAATTAAAGGAAAGAATGGTTGGTAGGTTTCTTTGATGTATGAGGAAGTATTCTTTCTCCCCATGCACCATTCTTGAATCAATTAAAGGAATTAGATCCTATTTGAATTTTGGCCATTTTTGGTTGATATTATTCGGCATGGAACCGATACCCGGTCCCGGTCCCGGTGTTTCTGATATCTTGTACGGGAATGTCAAAAAATGCCTCGATGCTGATATTTTTAAGCAAACGAAACGAACTATTTTTCTAAAGGGTTTTGTACCTAGTCAAGTTAGGTGACTCGTCCTCATGCTGAAGAAATAAAAACAGTCGAACGAGAAGAGATGGAAAACAATAGGTATCGATCAGTTTGGTTGTTATAACTTGTTTGGTGACCGTAGTATTCACATTCCGTTTCGTTAATTGTATTAGCCGTTTAATTGATGCTCTGTTCGGGTTGACTTTTGTTTACAGCACAAATGATTATAACCAAAGCTAATAACATATAAAAACTCGATGCCCTAACCACAAGGGTGATGCCTCATTGGTTTGAGCTTGACTCCAAAGGTCAAAAGTACCAGGAGGTCACAGGTTCAAATCCAAAGAGGAATAAAAATCTCATTGTGGCCACGGAGGTTCAAATGCGGTGACTCCGGGCTATCTGCAAAGCAGGTGGTCGTCCTGGGATTAGTCGGCTCGTATAATGGGTTGGATATCCAGGTTAATCAAAAAAATAAAAAACTCGATGACCCTTGGGATTCTAATTACCGCATAGGGTTGCATGTGGTCAGGGCCGAGCTGTCGATACCGTTGTGAAATTATTAATTTAAGTAAAATAGTTTCGCTTTAATATGTGGAACCCTAAAGATTAACGAGTTATTAGAGAGAGAGAGAGAGAAAATGAAATTGGTTGTAACAAATGGAAATTCATCGTTAAGAAAATATTTTACAACATCAAAGGGCCTTTGGTATAGCGGTATGTGAGTCTTTGGCTTCTTGGGAGGTCAGACGTTCAAACCCACAGAAGGTAAGGAGAGTGTGCGGGTTTATTTGTTCTATTTACCGTATATAAAATATTATATATATTTAAAAAAAAATTACAACCACATATTAAGCTACAACAAATGTCTATATGCATTTTTTATTCCGGTTCTTACTTCCGAGTTAAATATACTAAATACATTTGATTTAGTTTTCAACGGGGATATTCTTTTGAGAACCCATAAAATTGTGATAACTTTGAGAATTTGTACATCATATATTATTTCATATGATTTTTTTTCCATCTAAAACTAGGATTTAAAATATTAATTAGCGTATATTCGTTTCACGGTGTTTATGAAACACAAATTACACGTAAAAGAGTTTCATAATGTGAATCGAATACATATGAAACAAACATATTGTGAAACAAATATGTGTCAATCAATACATTAGATATTATACTTAAACGGAAAAAAATCATGTGAAACAAAACCTCATGTTCTTAAGGTAGAAGTTCTTATGGATCTCACAAAATTTTAAGTTCTTAAATAATTAAGCCTCTAATTTTAACTATGCTTAATTTTAAAACATACAAACTGAGAAATAAATATTTTAAGCGATATGAATTAAAAATCACGCACCATAATTATGGGGGTGTTTGGGATTGCTTATAAAAACAATTTATTGACTTATTCCGGTGTGACACCGATAATAAGCATTTTTAAGTGTTCGGATAAACAACTTATACCGGTGTCAAACTGGTAATAAGAAGTTTTTGAAGAAGTTAAACCTTTCTGACTTATAATAAGTTGATAAATGCTTTTGTAGAAAAACATAACTTGTTTCAAATAAGCAATCCCAAACACCCCTAAACGACTACAATATAAGTTCATTTGTCGTATTTATTAAATGGCAAGATTTAATTAAAGTATGTTATCATCTCTCGGTCGGTTTGGATAGTGTTCCATTAAGTCAAGTATAGATAAAGTTGTCTCTATTAATTAATCTATCTGTATAGATTGGGATCTTTTTTGTCTGGAAAGATTGTTTTATAGATGGAAATGACATGTTTGAGAAAAAATGGCCAACTCCCCTTAGAAGCTTAATAAATAAGCCGCTTTCTATATTCATTAAATCACTACCAAACAGTTATATATAGCTTATTGAATAAGTTATTAAACCCGTCCTTAGAAAACAAAATATCATATGTAGAAAAGGAAATTCAACATGTTATTCTAATTAAAAGAAATTTACAGCATCTAAACGCTTACACGAGTAAGTGCTTACCAAATCACACCATTTTATTGGATGAATATGATAAGAACCAAGAATCATACCCGGTAACAGGGAGACAAGGACCAAGAGTCTTACCCGATAAATGAGAAAAACGACTGGTAAGCGATTATCGGGTAAATTGTTGTATACGAAAAACATGTTAGTTCTTTCAAATACATTTAATACACACAGATACGTAACGGTAACAAATGACGATAACAGTTTTTTACGACCAAATTGTTGGCTGTTTGGCAGTAACCATTGATGTGAGTGTATACGTGTGTAATTTTATACAGATGCAAGTAAATATCTGTTCTCCATATGTTCGTTACTTGTATATGTATAAAATCAAAAGAGTATGAGAGAGAGAAGGAGGTATTCGATTCAATAATTTAAGGATCCAGAACAAGAATAAAGTTGGGGGGTTTCATCGGATCCGATCAGAATGGCCACAGAAACAAAATCTAATTTGGTTAAGGTGAAACCCAGTAGCGGAATTCGAGATGGATCTACAGCAAAGACTAAATTCGATTCGTCTGTTATCAAGAATAGAGTTGTTGGTGGGAGTTCAAGCAAGCATTCGGTTGATTCCAAGCATAAATTTTCGACCACAACCACAACTAATGTTTCCAAAACTGAGGTAAATTCCTAAGTTTGATGTGATTTTTATCCAATTTCGATGAGTTTTTGAATTGTATCGAGAACTACGTAATTTATTACCGAGTTAATTGGGCGTGAAATTGAAACTAATCGAACAATTTGCAGTCAATTAGATGATTCGTATAGTTTGTAGATTCAKCCGAATTGCAATCTGAATCTGTGGTTTCAATCGATTGAAAATTAATCTCTCTGTGCCCTAACCCCCAAATTTGATACCCCTTATCTCCCATATAAAGAAACTAAGAAACAAGAGGCCTTTGATGCGTTATGCCAAACAGATAAATTTATGAATTCCAGATTAATGGAAATTTTCAACGATTATCATGAATGTATATGGAAGATTATGAGGATGGATCATTATGATCATGGCTTTAGATTAGGAAACAAAAGGTATTCAGATTAGACTAGATGTATGGTGAGTCGGTGACGATTGATCTGTACAGTTTGTTAGAATTGGATGGTTTGTACATGAAACGTCCTCTAATGAACAAATTAACAAGTACCAGAAGATTAGTGTCAAATTCATTTGAACATTTGTTTCAAGTTTGGAAAAGTACTAGGTTTAATCATTGTAAATTTTTGAGTAATTCAATTTCTATCAGTAGCATCCGGAAACAGAGTGTATCTAGGTTTGCATTTTGCATCAGGATGAAAATGCAACCCATTTTGTTCCGATTCCTATTTTATACTACATAGTTTCACAATCTTCCTTTTGGTATCTCAAACACTTAAGGGGCTATTTGGTTGGTTTTCCGTTAAGTCCTATATGAATAAAGCTGTCTGTGTGGATTAATCTATCTGTATAGACTGGGAATGTTTTTATTTGGAAGGGTTTTTTCATAGACGGAAGGAGTGTGTTTTTTTAATTGGAAAGAGCAGATTTGAAAAAAAAAACTTGGTTTTCTGCATAAAGCTCCCCCTAGAAGCTTATTAACCACTTTCTATATCATTAAGCCACTATCAAAATGTCATGTATAACTGACAAAATAAGTTGTGAGTCCCATTAAGCTCATTAAGCTGCTAACAAAAATACTTGGACCAAAATATGTTATACAAGATAGGAATTGGATCAAAGTACATTGCATTTTCATGCATTCTCATATGTAAAACAGGTACCTAAATGTTTGGGATGTCACATCTGATTTGCCAAAATGGAGGTTTTGAAAGTACATTACTCAAATAGGAATGATTCCCTAGTAGGTTACTTGATTGGTATGCAAAAAATTTCTTTATGCACTACAATTTTTTGCTGAAATACTCTTGTGTCCATTTTTACGATGAAGGCTAAAGGAAAATCAATTTTGAGTTCTTCGAAGACCAAAACAAAAACGACAGTTAAACCAAGAGAGAAGAAAGTTTACTCCTTGCCTGGGCAGAAGTTTGATGTTCCAGAAGAGGTATATGATCGATTCTCCTTTCTTATTTGCATTATAACACCAATTACAGTATGTGTACATTCATTATGGTCATGGAACTTATATATTTCTTCTTTTGTAATATTCATGTTTGACAGCGAGAACCTCTACGGATCTTTTACGAGTCATTGTCAAAGCAGATACCTTCCAGCGAAATGGCAGAGTTTTGGTGAGTTCAATTCGTGAATACTTTCAACTTTAAGCATATAACATTTTTATGAATCTTGATTGGGTTCAACTAAGAGGCTGTTAGGTTGGTTTTCCACCAAGTCCTGTAAGAATAAGACTGTCTGTGTGGATTAATTTGTGGATTGGGAGGTTTTTGTTTGGGAGGGGTTTTTCAAAGATAAACGAGCGTGTTTTCTAATTGGGAGGGGCAGGTTTGGAAAAAACTTGGCTTTTTGCATAAAGCTATCTGTTAGAAGCTTACTGAATAAGCCACTTTCTATATCATTAAGCCACTACCAAACTGTCATGTATAGCTTCAGGTATGAAATTAGATCCCCATCCCCATCGTGTTACTCGTTAAAGCGGGGAATCCCCGCCCCTACGGGTAAAATTCCCATCTCTAGTTGTGGCAGACATTGAGCTTTGTATGTAATGTTCGTCTTGAAAGTGGATACTTGTTCTGATTCAAAATAAAATAGAAATTTGGACACTTATTTTGGGAAAAAGGGAGTATTACTATAGATATAGAGTGATTTATTTCATATGGATGTGCAGGATGATGGAACACGGCATGTTGTCACCCGAGAGGGCGAAAAAGGCATATGAGAAAAAACAGAGAAGGCAAAAGGAAATACGAATGGGAACGCCCATCAAGTCTCCACCACCACCGCCACCACCAAGTAGAGCGGAGAGTTCAAAGAAGCCACAACAGTTTTCGCCACCAAGTAGAGGAGGTGGTGAAAGTTCAAAGAAGCCACAACCAGTTTCAAAGAACGGGGACGCAAAAGCAAAGAAACGAGTGTTGAACGATAGCGATGACGACGAGGACAATTTTGTCTTGAGTCACAAAAGGAGAAAAGGGTAAAACAGTAAAAAAACATGTCAGTATCTTTCTAGATTGGTTAAACTTTAAAGCCTATGTTGTTTGATTTGACCAAGATGATTATCATAGTAATTACATATATGGTTCAACACATTCTTTGTGTTTTCTAACTTATGATGATAGTTAAAAAATAATCCATCTTAATAACTATTTCATTGTTTTGGCCATTTTTGGCAATACCCTTGTCAATTTATTAATTTGCCCCCAATGTTTACAAGTAGTGACGGATCCAAGATTTTTGCCGAGTGGATGCACCTTTAAGGTGGCGTTTGGTTTGCAAGATTCCGATAGGATCTGATTGAATTGGAATGATCAATTTTATTCTGATGTTTGGTTTACCTATGAAATGGAATAGAACTGAACAAGCATATTCCAATTCATTTAACAGATTAAATTCCATTTGTTGCCAACCAAATACTTGCTCAAACCTATAACAATCCCATTCAAATTCCTTCCAAATTTTGATTCGTTTGACAACTTCCGTTCGTTCAAAAAAGCACTATGCGAACCAAAAGCTTCCTTAGTAGATCAAAGGCTCACAAAGTCGTCCGATCAGTTTTAGTTGAATTCAACCATTGAAGTGGATTCTTTAAGTTTTTAGTTGATTTTGAGGGACTTTTTTGGTTTTTGGGTTGATTTTGATGACTTCTCCCGTTTTTTGCTTGAGTTTTTTTGTATTTTCAATATCGCAGACCACCCATCAAAGTTTATTGGGTGCCACCTAAAGGATTGTTTGGCAATTGCTGAATGATTTGGTGCATAATGATTAAGTGGTTAGAATGATTAAGAAGCTCTCATGATACAGTGTAAAAAGAAATATAATTGTTTGATAATTGTTTACAATGAAATTTGGATGCAGAATAGTTAAGGGAGACTTAAGACACAAAATCATTCAAACAGTTTTAAAACCATTAAGAAGCAGATTTTTTTTTGCCAAATAAAATTCACCGCTAAACGGTCCAGAGACTTGAACAAACAAGTGGGAAGCATTTTGACCATGTCTACGCCGGGTCATAAATAAGATTCTAGTTCAGTTTTAGCACATGCCGGAGCGAAATGGGCATGTCTATAAGCAATGCCAAAAAAACCATACCTCCGGCACCGGCACCGGCGGATCAGATCCCTGGATTGACCAGAGCAGGTTCAATCCTAGGCATACCAACCAAAAACATCGAAGATTACTACAAAATCGGTAGAGAATTAGGTCGTGGTAAATTTGCAGTCACATCTCTCTGCAGAGACAAGTCAACCGGCAAGAAATACGCCTGCAAATCGATCCCCAAAAGGAGACTTGTTACAGAATCCGAGAAACAGGATCTGAAGAGAGAGGTTATGATCATGGAGCATTTGAGAAATCAAAGGAATGTTGTTGAATTGAAAGATGCATTCGAAGATAAACGATGTGTGCATTTAGTTATGGAGTATTGTGAAGGTGGAGAGCTTTTCGAGAAGATGAAATCGAAAGGTAGATTCAGTGAAAAAATTGCAGCTCAGATACTTAGTTCCATAATGAAAGTTGTTTATTCTCTTCATTTCATGGGAGTTATGCATCGAGATTTGAAACCTGAGAACTTTTTGCTGTCAAAAAAGGGGGGATTAGGGTTTCTTCCATGTTTTGCTGATTATAGTCTCTTGAAGGCGATCGATTTTGGGTTATCTGCCTATATTGATGAAGGTATTTTTGGTTCATATCTCCATGCAGTAACCTTTTAGCAAGTTGTTAAAATGCTACTTGTGAAATGATTGACGTGGTAAAGTGGTAAAGTAGCAATTTAACAAGTTGTTAAATTGCTACTTTTGAAATGATTGATATGGCAAAGTAGCAGTTTAGCAAGTTGGATAAATAACACTTTAACAATTTTAGCAAGTAGCAAGTTGGGTAAATAGCATTTAACAACTTTAGCAAGCAACACTTTGGCAAGTTGCGTAAGTAGCATTTTCACGTCAGCATTTTGCAAGTAGCACTTTTAACAAGTTGCGTAAGTGGCACTTTCACGATAGCTTTTCACGAATAGCACTTTAGCAACTTGTGAAATTGCTACTTCATGAATATTATATTCATAAAAAGTGGATTTTGTAAGTTACTAAAGTGCTACTTGCGAAATCTTGGTAATCTCAGTCAATTATGTGGAAAAGCGGCTATAAAGTGAATTCGGGGGTCAAAAATGACTATTTTGGACAATTTTCCTTTAAATTGACGTAGAAACCAAGATTACAACATAATTGGCTTTACAGGACTCCAAAAATGTCTAGATGTCTAAATAGAATGCGTTAAAAAACTCGAATTTACAGGACTAAACAACTGCAATGATTTGTAGGAAAGCCAAACCAAGAGAAAGTTGGAACTGCTTTCTATGTTGCTCCCGAGGTTTTGCGGCGTCAAGAATATGGAAAAGAAGTAGATATATGGAGTGCAGGGGTGATTCTGTATATGTTACTCACTGGGGTTCCTCCCTTTTATGGTGGTAAGATCAAGATTTAGTAATATATACATGACTTGGGATCATGTGAGACCAAGGGGTTTTTCGTGAGACCCGTAAGATCAATTTTCAACCCTTGGATTTAGATCTACAGTATGAAAATTCATAATCACAAAATTGCCACTAGACTTCCCAATAATCACAAGATTGTCACCGTGCAACTTTAGACCATTAGATCATTAGCTTATAAAATTGATCAATGAACATAAACTGGTCTTACAGGTCTCACGAAAAACCCTGGGTCTCACGATAAACCCTTGGTCTCACGTGAACCCAACCCATATATACATATGTATATATATAGAGATCATGCGAGAAGTTGATCAATTTGCGAGAAGGCGAAACTTCCAAGATTATACATGGATTACATGTGATACGAACACATATCATGTATGGTCTTGGAACTTCTCGCATTGACCACTTGTTTAAATCTGACCCTATGTGTATATATACATATATATACGTATGTATATATGTATGTATGTATGCTGTTTGACTATTTATATCAATCAGCTGTGAAAATTCTAACTTCAACCCAACAAAACGAAATTGTAGAGAAAGAGAGAGACATATTTGATGCCGTACTGAATGCAGAGAAAGTTCTTGATATGAAGAACCATCCATGGCCATCAATATCAAAGAATGCAAAGGAACTTGTGAAGAAGATGCTCTCAGTGGATCCAAAGAAACGCCCGACTGCTTCTGATGTTCTCAGTATGTTTCTGATCACAATTAAGACTCGTAGAATACAGTTCAGATTACAACAAGATTGGCTTTATAGGACGCCAAATATATCTAAATGTCCTATAGACTGCATTACAGGATTTAAGTTTATAAGTCCAAACAATTATATGTCATATGCAAAGGTGTTACAATAAGTTGAGCCAATTCCTAGGTGTAAGTCTAAGCAGGAGAATACAATTCATATTGCAACAATATTGGCTTTATAGGATGCCAAATATGTTTGAATGTCCTAATAGACTGTTTTACAGGATTTAAGTTTATAAGACCAAATAATTATGTGTCATATGTTAAGGTGTTACAATAAGTTGATCAGACGCTTTTGAGCGTTGTAACAAGTTTTTTAGGATACTTTTGAAATAAGTTAAGCATCCTCAGTTTTTATATGACCTTATTTAAAGAAATGTCTTATAAAAACAAGGGTCCTACGACATGTTTTGGACTTCTCTCAAAAGTAAACAAGTGTCTTAAAATCCTTGTTAGGATGCCCAAAAAGGTCCTGTCAACATATTGTAACACTTTTACATAGAACGCGCTATTGTTTGGTTCTATAAACAGTATGCAGGGTACAATCGTACCAGCACTAGTGCAGAGGATCCCATCAGAAATCCGCAATTAGAACAGTATGTTAGAACATTTAAATATTTGGCGGCCTATAAAGCTGATTTTGTCTAAATTTTGCATAAACTCTACGTTAACTTTTATAAATATATATCATCTAGAGGATCAATGGTTGGTTGAAAATGGAGAAGCTACAGATAGTCCAATTGACAGTATGTTTCTTGCTAGAATGAAGCACTTCAAAGCTTTGAATGAATTCAAGAAACTTGCACTCAAGGTATTTCCCGATAATGTTATAGAAAACCGAGTGAAGTTAGTTATAAAGGGTCGATATTTTGGTAGTTACTGATAAGTTTTACGCTTCAAATCTTTTAGATAATTGCCGATATTATCCCACACGAAGAACTTGAAGGATTTGAAGCAATGTTTAGGAACATGGACACGGATGAAAATAAAGTTATCTCCCGTGAAGAACTCGAGTCGTCGTTGGCTAGACTTGGATCGAATCTTGGGCCAGATGAAGTTCAGCTTATTTCTGAAGCTGTAAGAACTCAACAAAAGTGAAAGTGGCAAATCTTTAGATATATATATATATATATATGTATATATATATGTATATATATATATGTATATATATATGTATATATATATATGTATATATATATGTATATATATATATGTATATATATATATATATATATATGAGGGAGATTTAAACGAGAACAGTTACAAAATAAGAGAATATGAAAACCGTTTTTGCAAACATGGTCGGTATGTAATGTTTTGCAGAATGCAGGCTGACGCAGATGGGGATGGATGTATCGACTACAATGAGTTCATTACAGCGATGATGAACTTTCAGAGATTTCATAAAAAAGAACACCTTGTTAAAGCTTTTCAGCATTTTGATAAGGATAAGAATGGGTAATTAAGCATCTTCTACTTGTTAAATGTTCTTCTTTAAGCAAATTTATTGTTGTTATGCTGAATGGGAATTGAATTGAATGGTAGAATTATATCGAAAGGGGAACTAAAAGTTGCATTGGAAGAGTATAAATTGGGGAAGGCAACCATTGAAGATATAGTATCAGAAGTTGATACAAATAAAGTAAGAGTTGGTTCATGTCTTAAGTATGCAAGTAGTTTTCAGCATATATATATATATATATATATATATATATATATATAGGGTTGGGTTAGTTATTGTGAGAAGAGTAAGAAGAGATATCCATCATTGGATCAATATTAATTGAATGTCAACACTAATGAGGTGCACCTAGATGCACCGGATCAATTCCTTTCTAAAATACAATTCATGGGTGCACATGAGATTAAAAGTGATTCAGATATTTTCTTATGCTTCTCACCATAACTTTCCTTATTACACGATCCTTTGCCTATATATACATATGTATACACACACACACACATATATATATATATATATGGAGAGAGAGAGAGAGAGGCATATGAAACAACATGTGTGAAAATGCAGTATTTATACAATACATGCTTACCGCTTACCATACTGTGGCTGACTTTTATTCTTGCAGGATGGTGTAATCAGCTTTGAAGAATTCTGTGCAATGATAAGAAGCTAAAAGTCAACATATCAAAAGTATGTATGTGATCACTCTTCGTCGTTTAAAAAATGTATGTATATTCATTAATGAATCCAAATTGTATATCTGCTATCTACCTCTATTCTTTCCTATTCTGCTTGTGTGTGTGTATACACACACACATTGTATATATATACACCTAAATTTGTATTCCGTTCACAACTTGGTTTAGAACCAATATAGGGGCCGTTTACCCGATCATTTACCCATTAAACGTTTACTGGTAAAATTCAACACTATTACTTACCGCATAAGATTTTAGTACACCAAATGGCATTGTATGCAAAAATTTACCCGGGTGAGCGCTTAGCGGTAAAATTCAACACTATCAGTTACTTACCAGGTAAGATGTTAGTACCAAAATGGCATTGTATGCAACAATTTACCCGGTAAACGCTAACTATCGTAAGAGTCGTTGCCCTCACTTGCCAGCCCCTTATGGTTCCACACAAGACCATACGGTCAATTTTTTGATCAAGAAGTTTATTTCCACTTGAAGGCATTAGAAGATGTTAGAACTAAAAACAGGGATAGAAGCAGAAAGAGCAAGGCTTCTCATTCACAATGCAATGATCAAAATTCATACATATTGTAATAGAACACATACGATACAACACAAAAGACGAAGCTGAATAGTTAGTTATATTTAAGCGTTAGGTAAACGGTGGAGGTCCATTTCGACTTGGTGAATCGTCCACTGCATATTCTCCAGTTTCTGCAACAATACATACATGTTTTAACCATCTTATTACTACTAATAACTAATAACCACAACAGTCGACAAACACTAAACCAAACAGACCCAGTAAATCCCACTCAAATGTAGGATCAAGAGTGTGAGATGTATACAGACCTGACATCTACCTCAATGGGTAGACAGTAGACAACACCGAACCAATTGACTTGGGGGTTAGATGTATGCATACCCAACCTCTACCTCAAAAGTAAACAATATATAACACCAAACAAAAATGACCCTGTAAATTCCATTTGGAAGTAGGGTTTGATGGTGAGATGTACATAGAAACCTGACCTCTACCTCAAAAGAGCAGACAGTGGACGAGACTGTGTTTATGCATTTACCTTTACTACATCCTGGTATTGTCTTGCAATTGTGTCAAAATGCGGGTCAACCCCTTGATATTCACGAAGCCGTGTCACCTACAAGCAGTCGGGTCAGTATAAAAAATGCACGTGTTAGCTTGCCAAAGCCTATGATCCCAATACTGAAACTACAATCAATCTAAACATTTCATTTTTCTTTAACAAGGAAGCCTATGTCCACTTTAACTCTTCTTAATGTTCAATGGAGTAAGAGCATCTCCAACAGTTTCTCCATAATATCTCCAAAATGGAGAAGCAAAACTCAAAAGTTTCCAAAAATAAAAATGTCCATCTTGAAATTTCCAACATTTATTAGGTAGGTTGGGGAGTTTTTCTTTGGTAGGATAAAAGAACATCACTCTCTCTTCCTCCATTTAATTTTGGGGATTTCTCCAAATTTGTAGAAATCCCCCCCCCCCCCCTAATCTCTCCATTTTGGAGAAACTGTTGGAGTAAAAATAGAATCTAAAAACTCGAAAATCTCATATTTGTCCATTTTTGGAGGAGCTATTTGAGATGTCCTAAAGAGTAACCAACCCAAACAAGCCGATATGGTCTAGGGGGTGGGATGTACGGAGGCTTGACCTCTACCCAGATGGAGTAAAGAAAACACGATTAAGGATCAATGAAAAAAGGACAACGATGCAAGATAAACGTACGGCTTTGTTGTATGCAAGTGAAGCTTCTTCTGTAGCTTCAACCAGATATTTCCTGTAACAAACGTTAAAATGGATAAGCATACGATTAGAAAAAGTTTGTTTAAATTAGGAATTGAAAAGAATCTAAAAAGACATCAGCATCTTTACCTTATCTTATGCAGTGCTGGAACTGATTCCTGAGTGTAAGTCTCAAGCAGGAGAATATGCTCCAATACTCTGAAGAAACGAAAATAGCCAACGGCCTCAGAGCAGAGATAGCATCATGAACTGCTTATAAGTTATACGTACACTTTTAGGGAGTGACCGACTTTGAAAGAATACACGACTAGCATACTTTCAGATTTCAGAGGGACATTTATAGCATTTGGAAGACCACATCAGGTTTACTTTCGGAGAACGATGCTAGTTAAAACCCTCCAAAGGAATATTTTTTTACTTATATAATATTTATATATGGCAAATACTCATGCACGCTCCTCACCTTTGATGAGGTTTGAACCCTTTGACCTCCAGAGAGGCTGTGTTATAACAGTAATGGTCTCTATGTTAGCAGCTTAATGGGACTCGCAGCCTATTCGGTAAGCTATACGTTGACTGTTTGGTAGTGGCTTAACAATATAGAAAGTGGCTTATTCAATAAAATTCTAAGAGGAGCTTTATGCAAAAAGCCACGTTTTTTACAAACCTGCCCTTCACAATTAAAGAACACGCTCATTCCATCTATGGAAAAACCCTCCCAAACAAAAACCCTCCCAACCTATAGACATATTAATCTACACATACAACTTTATGCATACAAGACTTAATGGAAAACCAACCAAACATCCCCCTAACTTTCAAGTACCACTAGGCCAATGACCCCTTTGGTGCCAAAGGAATTTTACAAGTAATACTTTAACATGCATGTAGATATGGAATATGCTTAATGCATGAACGGCTTAGATATTACAGAGAATAAAGAGACGGACCTCAATTTGGCGCTCATTGTTTCACACCGTTTGCATAACCAAGTCTTTTGCAGTTCATCCTACAAAAATTCCATATACATAATGTTTATCGTGCACTGGACTTCACATGGCACTAGACAAAACATGAAATAGTTAAAATCAAACCAAACGAACCCACTCGAAAGTAGGGTGCGGGAGGGGTAAGATGTCCGCAGGCCTTACCTCAACCACTAGGATCAAGAGGCCGGTTCAATGAAGACCCTCGATTTATGCACGAAGTAAAGGTGTGTGCAAACAGACAATAAGATAGGTAATATAACATGAAAGATTTCCCTCACGTATTTATGTTGATGTTGCAACTTCAAATCTTTCACAAGCTTAATAAGCACACCAAGTATCTGCTCCAACACCTTCAGAAGCAAATGTGATTTCAAATCAGCCAATCATCACAATTATAGATTCTATATTATCATCTTAAGCTTACTTGATCTAAGGGGCTATTTGTTAGCAGCTTAATGAGCTCAATGATTGTTTGGTAGTGGCTTAATAATATATTAAGTGACTTATTCAGTAAGCTTGGGGGAGGGACTATATGCAGAAAGTCAAGTTTTTTTCCAAACCTGCCCCTCCCATTTAAAAAATACGCTCCTTCCATCTATGAAAAATCTCTTCCATACAAAAACTTCCTCAAACTATACAGACATCAGCAAATACAACTTTATCCATACAAAAAGTGGCTTAATAATAAAAGTAGCTTATTCAGTAAGCTTTTAGGGGGAGGCCTTTATGCAGAAAGTCAAGTTTTTTCCAACCCTGCTCCTCCCAATTAAAAAACACGCTCCTTCCATCTATGAAAAAAATCCTTCCATAGAAAAACTTTCTCCATCTATACAGACATCAGCAAATACAACTTTATCCATACAATATGGAAAACCAACCAAACAGCCCCTAAAAAACACTCCCTCCGTCCCATAATAAGTGTTCCCATTTCTATTTTAGTTTGTCCCAAAATAAATGTCCACTTTCAAAAGTAAATGCTTACTTAAAAGTTAAAATTGTCATTTTGTTAATTAAGAAGTGTAATAACTACATATTTTTAAAACTGTGCTTTTTTCATTGTGGACATTTATTTTGGGATGGAAAGACTATTGCAAGCAACTTCAGCTAAATTGATGTGGTTATTATTACATACATTGTAATATTCTGCAAACTTTCTGTCGGCAGAATATAGATCTTCACGTAAAGCTGCTTCTTCTCTTTCTATCTCCTCAATAATTAACTTTACCCTGTTTAAGATAATTAAGAAGAGTGTATATGAATCCTCGGATACAATAGCTTCCTATTGCATTCATTAACATGAAGTGGAGGTTTTGATCCGTCAGTATGAACGGGTTAACATGAGATCACTAAATAAGAAGAGAAAAAAGATTACAAACCTTTCTGGAAGCCGAGCACTTGAATTTTGACTACCGGTTGAAGAATCTGCAACACAGGAAACAATTCAACGTCTTCCAATATTTACCGCATTATATACAAGCTCGTTGAGTTGTCGGATGACAATAAAGTAAGATGGTCGGTTATCCAAAAAATGTAAAAAAGAAGAATGTACACAAAATCATACATATGTCCTAAATCTGAATTATATTAGAGCATCTCCAACAGATTCTCTAAAATAGAGAAAATAAAGATTTTGTTCTCTATTTTGCTCCAACAGATTCTTTATATTGTTATCTAGAACAGAGAAAACTTCAAGTTTAGAGAATTCTCTAAAACTTGATGGGAGGAAAGAGACTTCCCACCAATGATATTAAATTATTATTATTTTATATCAAGTTTTTTTAAAAAGTGTCTTCAGATGATAAAACTATAGAATATTTTAATAATAAAGTAAATATTGAAATCTCTAACATAGAGAATCTGTTGGACATGAATGTAATCATTTTAGAGATTTAAACTTTTTGTTCTCTATTTTAGAGAAATTATAGAGAATTTGTTGGACATGCTCTTAAGACATCCACTATATCAAATGTAATGCAAATCTTGGTAGGGGGAACTGGGATGTAACGTATCATCAAAAGGGGCATCACGGATAGATAAATATTTAGATTCATGTGTGTGTCCAAGGAGAGTCATAGTGAGAGAGACTGACCCAAGTCATCTATAAAAGCATCAGCTAACTTGTCACATTTAACCTTTAAGCGAATCTCAATCTCACGAAGAAGTGGCATTTGGTATTCCGCCACATCCTACAACAATTGAAAAGTAAGTCCTTATTGTTTGATCAATATTGCATGAGCACAAATGTAGAAAAACACACACAAAGCAAACTAAACAATTTCATGGAAAGATGTAATATATACACATTCGTTAACATGTCATTACATACAGCCGGGCAGCCCCAGTGCACCGAAGGGCCTTGGCTTTGCAAGTGTTGGGGAGGGAAATCGTTGTACACAATCTTCCCCGTGCATTTTGCAAGAGGCTGTTTTTAATACTCAAATATGTGACCTTCGAGTCACAAAGGAGAAAACTTACAGACAGATAAGATTAAGAATAAAAACAACACATAAAACTACTCGCTCCGTCCCAAATTAAATGTCCACGATGAAAAAGGTACATAGTTTTAAAATTTTGTCTAGTTATTACACTTTTTAGTTAACTAAATGACAAATTTATCCTAAATAATAGGGGGAGTACGAATTTTTATTAAGGGTAGAATTGGAAAGGAGGCACTTACTTTTGAAAGTGGACACTTATTTTGGAACAAACTAGGGGTTGTTTGATTGGTTTTCCATTAAGTCATGTATGAATAAAGTTGTCTGTGTGGATTCATTTGACTGTATAGATTGAGAAAGTTTTTGCTTAAGAGGGTTTTCTCATAAATGGAAGGAGCGTGTCTTTTAATCGGGGAGGGCAGGTTTGGAAAAATTTGACTTTCTGCATAAAGCTTCCCCTTAGAAACCTAGTGAATAAGCCACTTTCTAAATCATTAAGCACTAACAAACAGTCATGTATAGTTGACTGAATAAGCTGTGAGTCCCATTAAGTTCGTTAAGCTGTTAACAAACAGGCACTAAATAGGAATGTGGACACTTATTTTTGGATGGAAGGAGTATATCCTTAAGAAGTTAGTGTCATATTACCATCTGCAATGGCGCACGTTGGACCTGACTTTGCCACAAATAACCTGGTGTTATTCCGAGAAACCGGTTAGGAACACCACCAACTCCAGGATCTCCAACGTCAGAAGCAGCGGTAGGAAACGCATTGTTTGTTGAGCTACCCGTGTTTATTGCAGAAATGTTTGTATAGTTACTTGAGTTTGAGCTTATTGTGACATTGGTAGTTGTACTATCAAGAGAGCTTCTTGATAACACACTCCATTTCTCTATTTCTTCCTCATGAACCTCGCCGTCTTTTGAAATTAGAGGAAGTCTCAGTCTCTGAGCAGCTTCTGCAACAACCAATCGATGCTCAAGCGCCTCATATACCTGAAGAAAATATAAAAATAACACATTCATGATGTCCAGAGTTACCTGCTCAAAGTAAAGGCCATCATAGTATACCACAACCGCTTAGTCATTAATATCCAATTGATAAGCATATTGTCTGCTTCACATTACATGCTTACCAGGGTCAGACCCAGTATGGTGCATTCGATGGCACGGGCCACCACTTCGTTTGTCCGTCGTAGTGTAGAAAACCTTAGGGTCGTGAAAGGTGCCACCATATTATTTTGTTGGGTGCAACTATATATTCCTTGAAACTACAATAATAACCCAAGTTTCTCTTGGTAGAGTTGGTTTGCAGTCTTTTCTCCCCTTCCAGGCGCGGGTTCGAATCCCGTTCTTATCATTTTCATAGTTTTTAGCTTTTAATTCCAAGTTTATTATGTTTCTGGAAAAAAAAATTGGAATACAAGACTCGGACACAAGACCCCACATACAAAAAGCAAGAAACTAACCAACAGACAATGATGATTTTGTAAAAAAAAATACCCATAGCTTCATTTTTTATGGTCAAATGGTGGCACCACTTGAAAAAGATGAAATTAAGCAACAAAAATCAAACTTTTAGGAGCTGCAAATGACGGTTCACTTGATTGAAAGTGTAATACAAGCAAAATGTCAAGAGTGGCATCAGAATTAGATGTATCAGGCATTGACATCTCCGTTTTCTAGTTCCCAGGTTCCTTCCATACCCACCTCCGAATAACAATAACAGCTTGTTTGCATCAAATACGATGAAAAAATATGAACGAAATGTGTAAAACTAGGTAAATTGGAAACATAAAAGATTTATATTAGACCTGAGGAGAACTCTTGAGGCCAAGATTGGAGTGTAGACCATGTACGTCTCGAATGCCTCCAAGATTGGCCACTGAAACAGCCTGTTGATAATCTTCAACCATGCCAATTGCTTCACAGTAAATAGCCTACATTGTAAATCAACAGACTAATAAACAACTAAAACAAAACATAATCCCCCAAATAATTTCCACATTTTGATTGCAAATCTCTAACCCTAATAACTAATTTTCTAACCAAATGATTACTAAAGGGTGAAATCTATACCAATTCTGAAGTTAAGTAATAACTGATTTCAAAAGCCAAAATGTGGCCTTTTTTGTTGACGGATTGAGGACAAATTCCATTCCAACATTGTACATCATGATACGGAAAACAAAACCAGATTGAAAAGTAAACCCTAGTTCGTAAAAAATCAAGCATACAAATGCATATTAATAAGAAATTAGCATACCATAGCTTCCAAATAACGTAGTCTTTCTCTCGACATTTCCTCTCGCGCCTGAAACATCAATCAACAAATTGAAATAAACCATTGAAAAAAACATGAAATTGCAATGGATTGATTACGTATAAATCTGCGAGTGAAATCGATCGTACAAGTTGGAGATCGTTGTAGACAGACTTGGAGACGAGGGATCCATCAGGAGCTAAGCAGTGACGCTCCAATTGATCAATCAATTGGATTACATCTGGTGGGAGGTTTTGGCCGCCTCCTCCCTTGGCCATTTTTGGTTGCTTATTTGTTTTTCAAAAATCTAACGATACCTTCTACTGTTGTGTGCACACATCGGCCGGCCGACAAACCACTAGTTTGAATTGGAATCGTGATTGAATAAAATAGTTACCGGTGGTCGGAGATGTGATCTGCGGTGGTTTGGTAAAATGGATGACTATATATATAAATTTTCTGATGTTTATTCATTAAATTTGAAACAACACCTAAAGATGGTCGTAAGAAAGATTTTGGGGATTTTTGACGGATTGATGCACAATGAGATTTCTGTCGTAAAAAAATTATAATTGATTATGCATAAATACAATTTATTAAAGCTTTATTTTTTAATTCGTATAATTAACTATAAATAAATATAATCAAATTTTGGATAAATATCTCATTTAAATATAAAAAATATAAAATATAATTAGTATAATCATTGACTTCTAATATAATCATTATCTTTATAAAAATTATATTGTTAAACCAAAAATAAATTACTTCGTTATTAAACCTAAATTAGATTATAATAAAACTTTGAATTAAATAAATTGTACAAAAAACGAGAACTTTTAAATAGTTATCTTGATATTAATATCGATATATTTTTTTCAAAATTTTATGATATCTTCAAATATATTTTTATTCAAAAGTAAAAAAAATAGAGACAAAAATAAAACGAAACATTAAAATAAATATGTATCCCGTTGCATTGTACGAGTACGTTTCTAGTTATAATTAAAAATTGAATTAAAGAAGTTACACAAAAAAAACGAAAACTATTAAATACTTAATTTAATATACTAATATCGATTTATTTTTTCAAATTTCTATGTTATCTTCAAATTTAAATTTCATTAAAAAAAACATTATCGTTTTCTCAAAACCACATAAAATCGTATTATATCGATAGAGAGAAAAAATAACAACTAAACACTGAAATCGAGATTTATCTCGTTACATTAACGAATACCCTTCTAGTGTTTAAATAATGCATATGTTTAGCAGTTTCAATAATATATGAAAAGCTAGATTTTAAATGTTTATGTGCGAGATACGAGTTTAAAATTAGTTTATTGGTATTTCAATGTTACCTGATAAAACTCGATGTAGGTTCGATGATAGTTCAATTGATGTGATATATAAATTTGATCTGCTCTTTTATAACATTATCACTCGATAACAGTCAGATAATTATAAAGTTGACATTTACATGTTCAATTATGGTTTCACGAAAAAACCCAATAAAGCTCGATATATATTCGATAATAGTTTAATAAACATATGCTTCATATTCATATAGCCACCATTTTCAAAGTGTACAAATAATACATTTTGGAATGACCATGCTAAATGCACCCCCTTTTTTCTAATTTTCTCATCTTACATCAACACTCTCACTATTCACCAAAACACTTATCCAATAAGCACTTATCACTAAGAATCAACACTTAGTTACCTTACCGGATAAGATTATATTCTATCAAAACAGCATCATATACAAACAATTTATCCAATAAGCACTAACTGAGTAAGAATCATCACTCTCACTTACCAGATGGTCCTTCCCATCGCTCTTACATGTAAACTCCTCAGTCCTTACCATTTTTATTTGGTAAGATAAATGATCCAGCAAACACTTACCAGTTAAGCGTTTAATAAACGACCCTTTCCTTACATTTTTAATGTATAATTGATCTGATTCTGATATAAATAGGCGTGCATATGATCTCTCCTTCTCAAAAGACATGTTTAAATTGGAAAGTCAAAGTTGCATTAAAAGCTAAAGCATTGAAAATAGCATGAATAAATAACTCAAATCCTTCATTGTTTTGGCAAACATTTGTTAATTACTGCCGTGATGATCAGTATCTGGTTCGAAAGGATGATCAGCCACACTGGGACCGAGACACGGCCCAGACTCCTACGGGAAACAGCAGTGCTACCAAAATCTTCAATCTTACCAACAAGTACAGGAAGAACACAACTCTTTTATTCAGAATGCAAAAACACAAAGTGTAGCATTTTGGAACTCCAACCATGGCTTCTATTTCTTTATCAGGTTCCTGATTACATATGGAAGGATTCCACCATGGTCAAAGTAAGTCAACTCTACCTGCAAATACAAACTCACAGATATTACCACTTACAATTCTTCTACCTCATCAATAAAGAGTAAACCACGGACTTTCGTCCCTAGAGTTTGTTGTTTATAACTATTTCCATCCCTGGTCTTTAAAAGTTGTTTTTTTAGTCGTCGTGGTTTCCATTTCATTACGCTTTTCGTCTCTGAGACTTAACAAAGTCAGAAAACGTACGTTAAAGCTCTTGTAGTTTGTATTAAAGGAAAAGGTGAAAGGAAACCGAAAGGGAGTGGGTGGGGTTGGGTGGGGTAGATTATGTTGTATTTTTTTTATAAAAGCTTTAATAATTTGTACTAAAACTTCAATAGCTCGTATAATGATAAACATTTAATAAAAATGAAAAATAATAAATAAAAAGACCGTATTACCCCCTAACTTAAGGGACTTTTCTAACTTTGTTAGCCTCGGGAATGAAAAGTGAAACTAAAACCACAGCGACTAAAAAAAGCAATATTAGAAGATCGGGGATAAAAATAGTTATATGCAACAAACTACAGGGACAAAAATCATAGTTTGCTCTCTAATAACTGAAATCGACAGATATAGCCAATCAGCAAAAATAGGGTTTCACTTTTTAGCCATTTTCTAAACCAAATTCACTTCGGTTTTCGGGCAAAAAATATATAAGAATCCTTAAGCAGAAGTGATTTTATGCGTAGGGATTCCACTTTCTGCGTAAGGATTCTTTTTTTCTCCTTTTTTGGGCGAAAAACCGATCCTTGAGCATATGCGCAAGCCTTCTACAAAAGAATCGGCTAAATAGTGAAACCACCTATCAGCTTTGGATATTTATGTAAATTTCTCCTCAAATAAATACTGGTCAGAAAGAGTTAGACGATGGGCATACCTGTGTGTCAAATCGCACTGTACATGTGAAAGATTTACCATTGTCGGTTGTAACCGTAACATCTTGACCAGGCTTTATGTCGCTGGCTTTTGATGGTAGGTCTATTGTGTAACGTTCATGGCCAGTCAACCCTAGAGTGTCTGCATCTTCCCCAGCCTTGAAACACAATGGGATGATGCCCATTCCAACCAGGTTACTGCGATGGATTCTCTCAAAACTTTTCGCTATAACCGCTTTCACTCCCTGAAAATGTTCAGAATCCAAGTGCTCGCATCAAATTGCTATTTACTACCCTGCCTACCACCTCTTACCAACCGGTCAGAGATGATGCTGTTTACCTAGCCTCTTTTACGATCCATGATGCTGACCTGGTAAGCTGTGGGAGGACTCATAGGGGCTATTTGGTTGGTTTTTCATTAAGTCCTTTATGAATAAAGTTGTCTCTGTGGATTAATCTGTGTGTATAGGCTGGGAAGGTTTTTGTCTCATAGAAGGAAGGAGTGTGTTTTCTAATTGGGAGGAGCAGGTTTAGGAAAAACTTTGGCTTTCTACATAAAGCTCCCCCCCCCCCCTTTCTTAAAAGCTTAGTAAATAGCCACATTCTATATCATTAAGCCACTACCAAACGGTCATGTATGGCTGACCGAATACGCTGCGAGCCCCGTTAAGCCAAGGCCCTTACACGGTCAGTGATTAGTGCTGGCCCATACAGCCCTCTTACTTGTTAGCGCTTAACCGGTTTGTGTTGGTAAACGGACCCTAAGAAAGGAAGTCAAATAATTCCTTACCTGTAACATTGGACCCTTGGCAGCCCAGTCCCGGGAACTGCCGCTTCCATATTCAGCTCCAGCCAAAACAATAGTGTCCTGCCCAGCCTCTTTATACCTCTGTAACATTCAAACGCCAAATCTCACTATAAATCAACTTAAAAATGAGTAAACGGCGTCATGAAGGTTACATATTCAAGGAAATTCGACAAATTCAAAGGTTCAGAACAGGATAAACGAACAATACCGTTGCTACATCGAACACAGAAAGCTTCTCTCCTGTGGGAATGTGAATGGTCTTAGGGCCCACCTCCCCATTTAATAGCTTGTTAACAATGCGGATATTCGCAAACGTTCCTCTCGCCATTACTTCATCGTTCCCACGACGGCTACCATAAGAGTTAAAGTCCTTACGGTCAACCCCACGCTCAAGGAGGAACTTGGCAGCCGGGCTATCCTTATGGATACTGCCTGCTGGAGAAATATGGTCGGTGGTGATACTATCACCGAAATTGAGCAGGCAATAAGCATCCTTCACTCCATGTGGACCTGGTGGGTCCATGGTCATGTCCTTGAAATACGGCGGTTCATGAATGTAGGTTGACTTAGGGTCCCACGAATAGAGACTGGATGAAGGGACGGATAACTTATTCCACATTGGATTTCCCTGTGTGATAGCCTCGTAGGTACTCTTGAACATATCGGGCAGCACACTTGACTGGACCACCTGTCAAATTACCATAATTCTCATTTCAATCGAGATCTATCTTGGGCCTAGACCGGAAGGAAACAAAGATCCGAAGACCTAAAAGTACCTCAGCAATTTCTTCGTTACTCGGCCAAACATCCTTGAAATACACACTCTTTCCATCCTTTGTAGTTCCAATTGGCTCCTTTTCGAAGTCGATGTCAACCTAAAACACGACATGCAACCCCATAAATGATTAAGCATCAACTACCAGAATCATCAACCTTCTATTCTTCAAGGCAGAAAAAGGAACAGATAAGTGTCGATTAATCTATCTCTATAGATCGGAGAGGTTTTTATTTGGGAAGATTTCTTCATAGATGGAATGAGCGTGCTTATTAATTGGGATGGACAAGTTTGGAAAAAAAAACTTGGCTTTCTCCATAATGCTCCCTCGTAAAAGCTTACTGAATAAGGCACTTTCTATATCATTAAACCACCTACCAAACAGTCATGTATAGCTGACCGAATTAGTTGCGAGTCCCATTAAGCTCGTTAAGCTTCTAACAAACAGCCCCTTATTTTGGGTGGGAGGGAGGGACTAATAAGATAATTTACATACGACACTTTACAAGCTTGCACAAAAGAGCTGCAAAACCAGACATTTAAATTTTCCACATACCGTGCCAGCAAGAGCATAAGCCACAACCAAAGGAGGTGAAGCAAGATAGTTGGCTCGTGTCAGAGGATGAACACGTCCTTCAAAGTTTCGGTTTCCGGAAAGCACTGCTGCAGCAACAATATCTGCAAGAGACCACAAAATGCTAAAAAAAACACCAAGGATCTGGATGATACATTCTCAAGCTAAATTTTGATGAACCTCTTAACACTTGACATTACAATCTTACCATTGTCTGCAATTGCAGAGGCAACCGACTCATGTAGATCTCCGGAGTTCCCAATACACGTTGTGCAGCCATAGCCCACTATATTGAATCCCTGTTGGTCCAAGTACTTTTGCAGACCACTACATAAAAGTAAGAGGAAAGCTTATCGACTAGTTGTAAGGATCTAACATTGTGTTCTCGAAACCTTTTTTATGAAAGAGAGGAAAGGGGAGAGAAGTAAAAAAAGTTGTGTTCTTGAAACTTTTTTAGGAAAGAAAGGAGAGAGGAAAGGGAAAGAAAATAATGATAAGTTTCCTCCCAAATGTGGGAGGAAAAGGGAAGAAATTAAAACCCATCAAGAAGTTACTAAAATTACAAGACTACCCAATCTTTCATTCTAAAGGATATATTTTTAGAAGGTATATCAGTAAAAGTAACATCTTTCCTTTCCTTTCCCTTATGTTCAAGAACATGAAAAATTATTTTCTTTCTTTTCCTTTCCTTTCTTTTCGAGAACACAAATAAAAAAATTATTTTCCCCCCTTTCTTTTCCTTCCATTTCTTCTCTTCTTTTTTTCCCCAAATTCAAGAACACATCGTAAGGGAAACTTTGATTTTCAAGGTGAGGAAGAAAACAAACTAATTTTTACCTCTGGAGCAAGTATTTTGTAACAACCCCAGAACCAGGAGCAAGGCTTGTTTTTACCCATGGCTTAACCTAAAACATGATGATAAGAAAGACTAGTTTAACAAAAAGAACATAAAGCAATCCTCTTACAGAAGATCAAGAAGCAAAAATGTCGCCATAAATAGAACTTTTTGAGAACCGTAAACCAACCTCCAAACCAAGTTCGCAAGCCTTCTTTGCAACAAGACCAGCCCCAAGCATGACACTAGGGTTAGATGTGTTTGTACAACTTGTGATGGCGGCTATCACAACACTACCATGCTTTAGTTCAGCAGTTTGTTCATTAAATGGAAAGCTGATGACTTTGTCTTGTGCCTCCTTCGGTACAGCAAAGCCCTGCATAAAACTTGAAACATTAAAACTAAACAGCACCAAATCCATGGTTTCCACTTTCCTTAATTGGCACTATCCTATGGTGAGAAATCTCAACTAACAAGAGCCTCAACAACAATGACAATCTAATGGGGGGAGAAATCAAATATTGCTAGTAGCAAATAAAACAATAGTCTTATTTCACCTTAAATCCAACTTTGTTATCAAGACATGAATGCCAGTCGGTCTTCATTTCTTTTATGGGAACACGGTCATGAGGCCTGTCAGCAGGAGAGTAATAATGGATTTGAGTATGAATTCAAAAATAGAAGGGGAAAACATAAAGCTATAAAAATCAGAACATGATACAATACAACATTGCAAAATGTCATACCGTTTAGGACCAGAAATACAGGGTTCAACATCACTTAGATCCAGTTGTAGATGAGATGAGTAAACTTTCTCTTGTTGAGGCTGATTCACAAGATCATTAGCAACAAATGGATAACATCAGTTTACAAATGACAAGGGCAACATGAAGGGAACTAACCTCACTATAATCGACAAACATTTTGTTTGCTCGCAAGTATGCTTCAATCATCGCCACCTACAAGAAATCAAGGCAGAAAATACCACAAAATTAATGCACTGTCAATTCCAATCTCGTTCATAATTTTATTTACTAACAAGAGAATTTCTTTCTGAATACAAAGAAGACAACTCACGGTATCATCACTTCTTCCTGTTAATTTAAGGTACTGCAACGTGACGTGATCTACCGGGAAGAAACCCATGGTTGCACCATACTCCGGTGACATATTTGCAATAGTTGCTCTATCAGCCAATGACAGTTCACGCATACCCTCACCTGCATGTACCAACCGCAACAAAGAAAAAAAGAGAAAAGGTATGACGTTCATGGCCTTGATAAATATTGGCACACTTTAAAGAAAAGATGAAAAAGGATATGATTGCTGGCTGCAGAGACATTACCGAAGAACTCAACAAATTTGCCAACAACGCCATGCTTTCTCAACATCTGGGTCACGGTTAACACCAAATCGGTAGCTGTTACACCATTTTGCAACTTTCCAGACAACTTGAATCCAACAACACCGGGCAATACCATGCTCATGGGCTGTCAATGTCAGAGAAGAGTCGATTCAATTACAACAAACATAGACATCCCAACCCATCAGCCATTATACAAAAAGGAATTTTCTCCAACTCTTAGTACTCATCAACAATAGGTTAGAATGATAAGTGAGAGGTGCAAAAATTGAAGAACCACCCAAAATGAATAGATGTTTGCATTATGTTTATACAAAGAACTTTGAAGCAAGAAAAAGACACAGAAGAAAGAAAAAAGCATCCAGAAAACACAAAGCAGGATTAGGACTACAGAATCAGACAGCTCGACCTGATTGAAAATTAATCGTAGATGCAAAGTTCAAGGCTGCTGTGAAATGAGATACTCCAGTATTCCTAGTTCAAGTATTTGCCTCCCGTATTTAGAAGTATATATTGTACAATTCACATCCCAAAACCAACCATATAGACTAAGATTTACCTTAGAAGTTAGAACTTGAACATATCAGTATAACTAAATCCCAAAGTTTTTCCAACTTATCACCACTGATCTATAAGATCACATCACCTTGGAGATGGCAACACAAAAAGGATTTATTTCAGACTCAAAGCATGGTTTGGACAATTGATCTTATGCTCTTATAATACAAGATCATATCACCCAGCAGATGGCTAACACAAAATAGACTCGTTTCAGACTCAAATCACGGTAAGGTTGATGAAGCTGGACACTAGAACATTTTCAAGAATAACGTGCTATAAGTTGGAACATCCTTGAAAAGGACGCTTTTAAATGGGTTCGAGAAACTAGAGGGGTCCGAGTCATCCAAGCACAAAGTTGATATTTCATTTCACCAAACAAGATTGAACCACTCAAAGATTCGACTGCAACTTTGCAACTCCATATAAGTTGGACAACTTGTAAAACACTATACCTGTCCAAGCATTGTTGCCTCTGCTTCAATTCCTCCTACTCCCCAGCCAGCCACTCCCAATCCATCGATCATCGTTGTGTGGGAATCAGTTCCAACAACACTATCAGGATATAGAAGCCCATCAGTGTTGAAGACAACTCGACCAAGATACTCCAGATTGACCTGGAGATATAAAAATAACCTGCTTAGTCTCGGATTCTAGTAGAGGTTTCCAAACATATGAAGATTGAAGGCAAAGAAGAAAGAGAAAAGTGCACGCTAAAACAAACATTTAAGAACTTGCCAGATTGAATGTGGAATGAGCCATGCACTACAACCATGTGCTTTGAATGTGTAAATCTTTTTTTACCTGGTGAACAATACCAGAACCAGGAGGAACAACAAGCATGTTGTCGAAGGCATGTGATCCCCATTTAAGGAAGGCAAACCGCTCATTGTTGCGCTGAAATTCAAGGTCCATGTTTGCTTGGACAGCATTTGCACTCCTTGCGACATCAACCTGAACGGAATGGTCGATCACAAGGTCTACTGGCACCTGGAAAAATCAATATTTCAAATCATGAAATAACTATCAATGCTCCAAGAATATGCCATCATGGGGAGTTATGTCCAATATACAGCATATTATAGGTTTGTGAAATTAGCATTTCTATATTGCAATAAGATCAGTTAGTATACCTCCATCATACGAACAAATACAAAATGTCAATGATGAAACAAATAAGCCATAATGAAGAATTTAGTGTGAAAAAAGACATGATATAGAAAAAGGGCAAATGGCTGAACTCAAATAAACAACCACCATGACGGAAAGACTAATGTGTAGACTAATCACATGTGGCAATGCTTCATAACGACAAGTAGATGAAATATTACTCACCAATGGGTTGATCTTCTTAGAGTCACCACCAAGCCTGTTCATTGCATCTCGCATACAAGCAAGGTCAACTACAGCTGGAACTCCAGTAAAATCCTAAGGAAATATCATGCATTATTTAAAAAGAACAAACAATGGCAAACTAATATACTTGCATATATAATACCACTTACCTGTAAGAGAACACGAGCAGGTTTAAATGGAATCTCCACTTGCTTTGGTGAAGTGTTTTCCCAGTCAATAATCTTTTCAACATCATGCTTGGTAACTTGAAAGTTATCACAATTGCGTATGGCAGACTCCAGAAGAATCCTGATAGAATATGGGAGCTTGTCTGCAACCATGTAAAGGAAAAAACAAGATGTCAACACATGAAAGGATTAAGTAATTGCCAAATAATAGTAAACAAACAGATTGAGGGATCCTCCAATGATTACTCTGACTAGTACTAATAATAATAATAATTACACTGTCAGTTTGTGAACTTGATCACAAACCACATGAGTTAACTGAAGAAGAACCAAAGAACTTAACAAAAGGTCATGTTCTGTTCTGTATCCACTCACCCAAACAAGAGGCATATTGATAGTTAGCATTAGAAAATCTATTTGAGCAGTTACTGGATCATATAGAGACAACTGGTAACATAAAACAGGCTAAGACAGAGAAGAAGAAAAAACTATATCCTGTGAGCACAAGTTCTTGTCCTTACCGATCCTAGGATCATTTAGAGCAGGAAGACTGTAAAACTTTCCGAACTCGCCTCCTCCAGGCCTGGGGAGAGTAGTGAATATGCCCTTGAAAGGATTTTCAGAAGCTGCATAGATTTAAGGAAAAAATTTAGTATAGAATAAAGCAAAAAAGCACCAAAATATAACAAATGTTTTTTTCCCTTCACCACATTGACCACCTCCTTGAATCAATGAAAAGTTCCAATACCCAATAAAATTAGACAGTAGTACATGTACCATGGCCATAAGATTGGATTCCAAGCGATCCAAATATGTAAGCAATCAGCAACCATTTAAGTAGGGCAGTCAATAACTTTTTTTATGGGAACAACAAAAGCGAATCAGATAAAGTTCTAATCAGCACTACAAAACTATAAAGTTAATATTCCCCTCGGATCCAGAAAAAAAGCATGTACCCACTTTGATTCAAACACAGTTGCAAGCAAAAGTGGTAAAATCTCGGAATCAAATTTGCAACAAATCCAAATAAACATTGATTTGACATTTTAAAAAGTTTGATCTAAAAAATCAAGGCATGGTTTCTTATTTTTGGAACTGGACGAGCAACCTAGAAGTCTAAAACGATTGCTTCATAAGTCCAACCATCGAGTAAACCTCCAATACAATCGTGTTTGTAGACCGTTTGTTGACAAGGACTGAATTAATGATAAATTAAGAAACCGTTATCAACTAATTAAAGAACTGAAAATGAAGAATCGAATGACGAAAAAGTAAAGACTGGTATACTCTTTATTCAAGTAATCTTACAACATCAAATCAATGAAGAATCGGTCTAAATTAATTGAGGTTTATAGATATACCCATGGAAACGATGTTTCGTTGAAACTGTTGAAGGACAGGAGTAACGGTTCCGATCTGAGCCCTAAGAGTGAGAGATGATTTCCAGCCAACACCGTGACTCCACCGTGAAACAGAACGGAACGCCGATGACGTGCTCAGCGATCTGAACGGCAAAGATGGAAATGAAGCTCTAGAGAGAAAAAGAGAAGAGGGTTTTGAGAAACGAACTCTAGAAGAAGCTCTAAGAATTGCAGATGAAGATGATGAAGTTGTGATCGCTATATGCATCACGATTGTCAGAAGAAAAAGGAAAAAATAAAACCCTAAAAATTAAAAGTGGAGAGAGAAAGAGAAGAGGTCGGCCATGGCTGCGCTTCTGAGAGTGGAGCTTGAAAATGAGGGTGTTCGTGTGTTGGAAGGCGTACGGTAGGGAGGGTGAGGGTGAGCAGATGAGTGATAATGGACGGTGAGATTTGTATGTGGAGAAACATGAACGGTGTTGATGAGGGATTTGAGTATGGTTTTGACCGTGTCTGACGGCTTGGTTAATTGATAGTTTGAGCTCCGCTCGGCTTGAGTCGGCTGAAAGTAAAACAAGTGTGGGATGCACACTCCATTTTACCTACCTCATTTTTTTTTTTACTTTTTTAATTTTTTTTTTCCCATTGTTTGTGGGTGGTTGAATAAATTGACAATTATACCTAAAAGTGTGTGCAATGCAATCTTTTGATGGTGTTGTACAAGGTGTGAATTATTTTATCAAAAGATGACATCATTTTATTAAAAAAATAAATATAAAAAAAGATTTTAAACTGTGATATCATTTGATTAAAAAAATAATACTAACATGATTTGAATTCGAGTCTAAGGCAGAATAAGAGCTTTGCAAACCAACTCTACAAAATAAAACTTGTTCACATTGTAGTTTCAAAATACATACGGTGGCACACAACAAATTAATATAGTTGCATCTTTCACGAACCTACATTTTTTTTACACTTCGACGGAGAAATAATACGGTGGCAAGTGCTACCATTGGCACCACTATAGGTCTTGTCCCTGGTGTCAATGAGTCGAGATGAGTTAGGGAGTAGGTTATTTAAGTCGGATTCTAGTTTGAATAACTTTTTTTAAGATAAGGTCTGAATTTGAATATTAATTGAGTTACTGAGCTCGAGTTCAATGTGGGTTTATGGGCTTGTATTCGTGATTGGTTAAATCGTTTATTAATTTGAGGTACATAAATTTAAACATAAAACTTTAATAAGTTGTATTTACACATATTTACTTGTAATCTTAAACTTTAAGTAATATATTAATAAACAATACTTTATACATAAATAATAATTTTTAAAATTTTTTATTAAAATTCTTTATAATACAGAATAGATAAATATAAATATGATCATAAATGTTTTAAAATTATCGGCAACTATATATTTCTAAATTAAGATAAATAGGAAATATGAGATGATATTTTGAATTTACGTGTGGCCGCGAAACATGTGCCACGAGGAAATGGATGAAAAGATGGATATTCCTATTTGCTAGTCCCAAAGAAAATGACGTCATTTATTATGTCATCCCTATCTTTTACATTATTTTCTTCCCAACCATGAAATCCCATCATTTGACCTATTCACATTTATGGGATGTGATCAAACATATATCCCAGATAATGTTATATATATATTTTTTATATAATTAAAAGGATACTCGATAATATAGTAAGATATATCTTGATTATTCGTACAATGTAATAAGATATATCTTAATTTTAATGTTTCGTTTTATTTATTTTTGTCTTAGTAGATATTATAATATGGTTTTATGTGATTTTGAAAAAGCGATAATATTTTTATTTTTGAATAAAATATAAATATAAAAAATATAATAAAAAAAATAAACTATTTTTTGATATTAGTACAAACTAACTATTTAAAATTTCTCTTTTT